CTTACAACACAAAGAACTAAAAAGAGGACAATAAAAGCCCAGAGAAAGCAGAAGAAAGGAAATAATAAAAATAAAAAAATCAATGACATAGAGACTAAAAACAATACAAAAGATCAATGAAACCAAGAGCTGGCCCTTTGAAAAAATAAACAAGTTTGATGAACCTTTAGCCAGGCACATCAAAAAACAAAGAGAGAGGAGATCCAAGATGGCTGCGCCCAGGTGAACACCTAGCCGCAGCCGCACACAACAATTTCAATAAAATACAACTAAAATATAAAACGGACATTGCCCAGAACTACAGGAAGGTTGACTGACTGGAAATTCTACAGTGAGAAGCAAGGAGAAAACCAGAAGGAGGTGCGGAGGAGCTGGAAAAGCCAAGGTACGGAGACGCGGAGACGCGGTGCGCAGAGAGGACAGAGCCGGAGAGGAGGAAGGCCGAGTGCCTGGCGGGCGTTCCCTAGCGGAAAGGAGATAAAGCTCCGACTGTGCTGGGCCCCCGACTGCTCTGATCCCCAGTTTTAAGCCAGACCCCGGGGACTCAGGCTCAGCCATAGGGAGCCGGGCTGTAAGGTGGAACCCCGGGGAAGTGGCGAAAGGAGGTCCCAGCGGTGCGCACACTGCGCGCAGAGAAGGGACATTCGGCTGTGCCGCGGGCTTGCCCTGACGGGAAGGAGACTGGGGCTCCAGACTGCTCTGAACGCCACCTCCAACTCCACTTCCAACTGAACTGAACCCCAATACCGGGCTCATTGTGGGAGAGCATAGACTGTTTGGCAGCAGGCGAAAATCGAGGGCACCTTTCTCTCAGAGGCGCCGGCAGTGAGCTCTGAAGGACCCGCATAGGGCGGGGCTGACGGAAGCCAAAGCTGCAGGCTCCACCCTGAAACCCCGTCCCATCTGTAACTGCGAAATGCGACAACAAAATAGATCACAAACGAAAGAAATGGAGGACAAAAAGCGTCTGGATATAGAGTTCAAATCTACGCTTATAAGGTTTTTCAAGAATTTCCTAGAAAAGATGGATAAGGCCTATGAGGATATGAAAAGAGATCAACTAGAATTAATAAGGGATCAACAAGACATAAAGAATACATTGTCTGAAATAAAAAATATTTTACAGAGTCCTAAAAACAGAAGGGAAGATCACAAGAATCAAGTCAAAGATTTGGAACATAAAGAGCCAGAAGACACTCCTCCACAGAAGCTAGAAGGCAAGAGAATCCAGAAAATTGAAGATAATGTAAGAAACCTCTGGGACAACTTCAAGCGAACCAACATCAGAATTATTGGGGTCCCAGAAGATGAGAGAGGGCAAGATATCGAAAACATACTGAAAGAAATAGTGACAGAAAACTTCCCCCACCTGGGGAAAGAATTAGACTTACAAGTCCAGGAAGCGCATAGAACTCCAAACAAAAGGAATCCAAAGAGGACCACACCGAGACACATCATTATTAAAATTCCAAGAGCAAAAGACAAAGAGAGAATATTAAAAGAAGCAAGAGCAAAGAAGGTAGTAATCTATAAAGGAGCACCTATACGATTGTCAGCTGACTTCTCAACAGAAACCATGCAGGCCAGAAGGGAATGGCAAGAAATATTCAAGGTGATGAATAGCAAGAACCTACAGCCAAAGATAATCTATCCAGCAAAGCTATCACTCAGAATCGAAGGCCAGATAAAGAGCTTCACTAATAAAAAAAAGCTAAAGGAGTTCATCACCGCCAAACCAGATTTATATGAATTGCTGAAGGGGGTTCTTTCAGAAGATAAAGTAAACAAAGATAAAAATTATGAACAACAAATACGTAACTATCAACAAGTGAATCTAAAAACCAAGGAAATTAAAAAAATCTGATGAACAATATTAACTGTTGAATATAATAGAATCAGAGGTATGGAAGGGGAGTGAACTGACAATTCTTGGGGAAAAGGGGAGAGGGGGGCGTGGGAAGAGACTGAACATAAACTGTGCACATATGGATGAGGACAATGGGGAGAGGGGAAAGGGCAGAGGGTGGGGTGGGAACCTGGTGGAGGAGAGCAATGGTGGTGGGGGGGGAAGGAACATTTGTAATAATATGAACAATAAAAACTTATAAAAAATAAAAATAAAAAAAAATAAATAAATAAATAAAAAAAAAAAAAAGAAGAGGAAGAAGAAGAAAAGGTAAAGATAAAAATTATGAACAATAAAGACATATCTATCAAAAAACTAATCTAAAAATCAAGTGAATAAAAAAATCTGATGAACAGATTAAATTGGTGACTATAATAGAATCAGGGGCACAAAAAGGGAGGGGATTGATAATTCTCAGCTGGGGGGGAGGGAGAAGTGTAGGGGGGAGGAGGGAGATTGGACAAAATCGTACACCTAAGGATGAAGACAGTGGAAGGGGGTAAGGGCAAAAGGTGGGATGGGAACTGGGTAGAGGGGAGCTATGGGGGGAAAAAGAGAATAATTGTAATGATTGGAACAATAAAGATTTATTAAATTAAAATAAATAAATAAATACAAAAAAAAAAAAAAAAAAAAAAAAAACAAAGAGAGAGAAGAGAACCAAGATGGTGGCATAGGTAACACCTGTACTTGCTGTCTCTCACCACCACATCAAAATTACAATTAAAAGGCAAAACTACCACCAGAACCACAGGAAAGCTGGCTGCGTGGAAGTTCCACAACTAAAGAGGTGAAGAAAGCGCATTGAGACTGGTAAGATGGCCCTGACCAGTTTGGCTCAGTGGATAGAGCATTAGCCTACAGACTGCAGAGTGCCAGGTTCGATTCTAGTCAAGGGCATGTACCTTGGTTGTAGGCACATCCCCAGCAGGGCATGTGCAGGACACAGCTGATCAATGTTACTCTCTCATCGATGTTTCTAACTCTCTACCCCTCTCCTTTCTTCTCTGTAAAAAATTAATTTTAAAAAGTTTTTAAAATAAATAAATAAAAGAGACTGGTAAGAGGTACAGAGGCACAGAAAGTGCTGGCACCTGGATGTGCTGCTCTTTTAATCGGGAGGGAGATACAAGCTCTCGCTTGCTCTGAACTCCAATTCTGGGTGAGACTCTGGGGAACCCAGACACATACAGGGAGAAACTGGACTGTCTGGCACCAGGACAGGAACATGAGGGAAGATTTCTCTCAGAGGTGCTCACAGTGATCATTGTTCCTGCATGGAGACAAAGGATGCAGAGACCCAGGGACCTCTCTGGTTCAGGGCTGACTGGCAGCCATTGCTGTTTGCTCTACCCTGGTGATTCCCAGAGACCCCACCCCACCCAATTTGCAACCCCACCCAAGCTGTGCACATTGGCTTTTGAATATGAATGGCCTGTCCTTTCTCCACCTAAAACCTGTCAAACTGCAGCTGGGTCAGAGAGCCCCAGAGCATCCAAAAGAAGGCCCGAGGCCCGGCAGCAGCAGCCCACCTTGCATCACAGCTGGGCCTTGTCTGGGCACTTCCAAACCCCAATCAAAGAGGAGGAATCCGCAGATCTCTCTGTAGCTCCTGCTGGGTGATCCCACCCAGTGGCTGACCTTGCACCTCCTTGGAGATCCAAGAGCCAGGGTACCCAGTGGTCAGAGTGAGACCATACTGGATTACAACTCCTCACATCCATAAGAAACACACTCAAGAAGCAGACTCAGTGAGCACCAAAGCCCTACTGAAGCAAGTCCTGCCCCATAAGAGTGTCTCCTTGCAACAGATCTTCCAGTATAGACACAGATGGTCATCACAGCCAATTGTCCTGGAGGTCAATTCCTCACAGTGATACCAACAACAATCAAGGCTTAACTACAACAAGACTGTGCAAACAGCCCACAGAGGTGTGCACCAAGAGTGTTCACCTCAGGTGAATGGGGAGGCTGGGCCACTGGGCCCTATAGGACACCTACCACAGAAGGCCACTCTATCAACTCAAGGAGACTTAGCAGCTACCCAATACATAGAAACAAACACAGGGAAACAGCCAAAATGCAGAGACAAAGAAACAAGTCAAATGAAAGACATGGATGAATGCAAAATACTGGATATAGAGTTCAAAACTATGGTTATACAGATACTCAAGAATCTTCTAGAAACCTCCAAGAAATGTAGTGAGAACCTCCAGGATATGAAAAAGGACCAATCATAAATTAAGCATACACTGACTGAAATAAAGAATATTATACAAAGATTCAAGAGCAGACTAGAGGATTCCAAGAATTAAGTCAAAGATTTGAAATACAAAGAAGCAAAAAACACCCAACCATAAAAGCAAAAAGAAAAAAGAATCCAAAAATATGAAGATAGTGTAAGGAGCCTCTGGTACAACTTCAAGCGTACCAACATCCAAATTATGGGGGTGCCAGAAGAGAGAGAGCAAGATATTGAAAACCTATTTGAAGAAATAATGACAGAAAACTTCCCCTACCTGGTGAAAGAAATAGACTTATAAGTTCAGGAAGCTCACAGAACCCCAAACAAGAGGAATCTAAAGATGACCACAGCAAGACACATCATAATTAAAATTCCAAGGGCAAAAGACAAAGATAGAATCTTAAAATCAGCAAGAGAAAAACAGATACCTACAAGGAAGTACCCATATGACTGTTAGCTGATTTCTCAACAGAAACTATGCAGGCCAGAAGGGAATGGCAAGAAATACACAAAGTGATGAATAGCAAGAACCTACAACCAAGATTACCCAGCAAAGCTATCATTTAGAATTGAAGGTCAGATAAAGAGCTTCCCAGAGAAGAAAAAGCTAAAAGAGTTCATCACCACCAAACCAGTATTATATGAAATGATGAAGGGTATTCTTTAAGAAGAAGAAAATGTTAAAGATTAAAAAAAAATGAACAATAAAGTGACAACAAATACATATCTATCAACAACTGAACCTAAAAATCAAATGAATAAAAAAAATCTGATGAACAGAACAGACTGGTGAATGTAATAGAATCAAGGGCATGGAAAGGAAGCATACTGAGAATTCTCAGGAGGAAGGGGTTGTGGGGGGTGCGGGAAGAGATTAGACAAAGAGCTTACACCTATGGATGAGGTCAGTAGTAGGGGGAAGGCCTGGAGTGGGGTGAGAACTGGGTGGAGGGGAACTATGGGGGAGGAAAAGAGAAACATCTGTAATAATCTAAACAATAAATATTTTTTAAAATAACAACAACAAGGAGAGCCCTGACTGGGTAGCTCAGTTGACTAGGCATTGTCCTGATATGCCAAAGTTGTGGGTTCAATCCCCGGTCAGGGCATATACAAGAAACAACCATTGAATACATTAATAAATAGAACAACAAATTAATGTTTCTCTCTCTAAATATCAATCTTTAAAAAAAAAAAAAGGTACAAAGAGAGAGGATCCAAATAAATAAAATCAGAAATGAAAGAAGTAAAGTAACAACTGACACCATATAAATACAAATGATCATAAGACAAGTACTATGAACAACTATGTATAAGCCAACAAGCTGGACAACCTGGATGAAATGGACAAATTCCTAGAAAAATACAATCTTCCAAAACTGAATCAGGAAGAACCAGAAACCCTGAATAGGCCAATAACAGCTGATGAAACTGAAGCAGCAATCAAAAAACTCCCAGCAAACAAAAACCCTGGTCCGGGTGGCTACACAGGGGAGTTTTAACAAATATTCAAAGAACTAACACCTATCCTCCTTGAACTATTCCAATAAATCAAGAGAAAAGAAGTTTGAAGGGGCACCCATCTCTTTTCTCCACTTGCCTCACAGCCCACTGAGTGTGCCGTGAAGCCACAGCCCGTGCATATACAGCCACCTAGTGACAAGGGCCTCCAACTGCACATTTTGTCCTCTTAGAAGTCACAGGAGCCTCTGTAGTTCCACCTAAAAAATCATTCCTATACCAGCAGGAGGTGGGCATGTCATCCCTTCTTTTTTAAAATATATTTTATTAATTTTTTACAGAGAGGAAGAGAGAGGGATAGTCAGAAACATCGAAGAGAGAGAAACCTCGATCAGCTGCCTCCTGCACAGCTCCTACTGGGGATATGCCCACAACCAAGGTACATGCCCTTGACTGGAATCGAACCTGGGACCTTTCAGTCCGCAGGCCGATGCTCTATCAACTAAGCCAGTGTTTCCCAAACTTTTGCCATATGTGTACCCCTTCTATAATTTTCGTAACACTGAGTACCCCTCGTACTCATGAGAACGTAGAATTAGGTGCGGCTAAGCACGGTGCAGTGCATATCCCCACCAAACTCCAATGCAACGCGTACCCAGACCAAACTCTTCCCCTACCCCTAGGGGTACATGTACCACACTTTGGGAAACACTGAAGCCAAACCAGTTAGGGTTCCATCCCTTCTTGATGACATTCTCCATCAAGAAGCACCCTCAGAAAGTGCGAGGTGGTTTGTGATTAGCAGGTACTTATTGGTCCAGCTGGGGAAAGCCGAGACCCCCATCACACTGCAGGAGAGAGAAGAAGAGAGCCCAGCTGTCACCGTCCCCCGTGGGCAACTGGGACCAAGTGCTCTCTGAAGGCCAGCTCTGGGATTTGGGCAGAGGCTGCCGTGAAACCATTTTTAAAGGTGACGCCTGGGTAGACCTTCACTTCTGATAGTCTACAGACCCAGAAGGAATCTTCTGGCCTCTCCCCGAACTTGCTGATGGGGTCCCTTAGTGCAGCGTTTTTCAACCGCTGTTCGGCGGCACACTAGTGTGCCGCGAGATGTTGCCTGGTGTGCCGTAGGTGCAGAAAAGACAAGAATTTTATAATTTTTCACTATTTTGTTTACTTAATATTTCATAATAAAGTAATTATAAAATACTTTCTTTGTGTTTATTTGATTCCTATTCAAGAGAATTACTTTATATATAGTTAATATAGGCACAGAGTTAAATTTTTTAACATTTTCTAATGGTGGTGTGCCTCGTGATTTTTTTCATGAAACAAGTGTGCCTTTGCCCAAAAAAGGTTGAAAAACACTGCCTTAGTGCATGTAACTAAAGTGGAAGAACAAATATGCAAGAATTTGGTGATGGGAACTTATAATTTGATGAAGATGATATTTTAATTCAGTGGGGAAATATGGGTTAGTCAATAAATGGTGTTGGCACACCTAAAACTTTGAAGAGAAAACAAAGTTAGATCCCGATGCCCTTTATCACTGAAATAAATTTCCCGTAGATTAAAATGTTAAAGCACTAAAGGATCTTGTGAGTGGAAAGTTTTATAATTTTATCATCACTTTTTCATAGGACAGAACATCCAGGAAACATCATGAAAAATTGATCACATGAATACATTGACACTTTTTATTTATGCATAGAAAAGGACTGTGAACAAAGTTAAAATGCAGCAATGAGTAGGGAAAGTATTTTCCAATCAGGATAAAGATTTGATATTCTGAACGTGTACAGAATATTTACTAATCAATATGAAAAACATGACTGTCCCAGATAGACAATTCTCAGATGACTAGATGCCACTGGGCAAATGTCACACACATTATCATTCAATTGTATTAAAATCAAAAGGAAAGTGGAACACTGCTGAGATGTGATTTCAGTTACTATATGTATTTAGTTTTACAAAAATGTAAAAGATTGAACATATTCTGTGTGAGGTGGGTAGTGGGAAAATGGTCTTTCATACACAATTAGTTGGAGTTCAAATTGGTGCAAACTTTGGGAGGCAATTTGATGATATGTATCAAATACCTTTTCATTTTGTTTTGTTTTGAATATTGTTAGAGGTATTACATATGCCCCCCTCTTTTCCCCCATTGACCCCCTCCAGCCTGCCCCGCCCCAGGCCTTCACCACCCTATTGTGTGTGTCCATGGGCTATGCATATATGCACACAAGTTCTGTGGTTGATCTCTTCCCATCCACCCACCTTCCTCCAACATTCTGCACTCTGTTCCATGCTCCCATGTCTCTGAATCCACTCTGTTCATCGGTTTATTAATTAGATTCCATATATGAGTGAGATCATGTGATACTTGTCTTTCTCTGACGGGCTTATTTCACTTAGCATGATACTCTCCAGTTCCCTCCATGCTGTCTCAAAGGGTAAAAGATTCTTCTTTTTACAGCTGCATAGTATTCCATGGACCGAATACCTTTAAAAGGATTATACTTCAACCCAACAATTCCCCTTCTAAATATATATTGCACAAAAACAAATGTACCAGGATATTGGTTTCAGCACTGTTTATAATAATAAAATTTGAGAACCGAATAAAGGCCTATACATAGGGGACTGGTTAAAATAGCTATGAAATATACATTTGTGGATTATTATATAGCCTACTGCCTCCTGTTTGGGAATAGAGAAACTTAAAATCACAAAAAGGTGCCCAATGGCTCGTAGGTGAGTCATGGTTCAATTCCCGGTCAGGGTTACGGGCTTGATCCCCAATGTGGGGTGTGCAGGAGGCAGCCGATCAAAGATTCTGATCATTTATGTTTCTATCTCTCTCTTCCTCTCCCTTCCTCTCTGAAAGCAATAAAAATATGTATTCTTTAAAAAGCACAAAAAGGTGGGGGAGGAAGGGAGAGGGAGAAATAACATCCATGCAAGAGAGAAACATTGATCAGTTGTCTCCCATACACACTCTGACTGGGGATCAAACCTGAAACCCAAGTGTGTGACCTGACCAGGAATCAGCATTCCTCTGCATGGGACAATGTCCCAACCCACTGAGCCACACTGTCCAGGGCTGGAAACATGTTTTAAAGGATTCCCCAGGCATCTTTGAAAAGAGAAATAAACTAGACAAATATCTGGAAAGATTGATTTTTTTTAAAGTTACACATTCTGAATAGAAATGTTACGAGTAAAAAGTATATAATACAGTACAGCAGAGATTTTTAAATGATAGGATAAATTTATTGCAGTAAATTTGAAGTGATTAACTGAACACTGTGCTAAGAAAATATAACTTACTCAAGAAACAGAACACCTGAGTACAACTAAATTCAAGAAATTTTCAAGAAAATTGAATCAGTGGTTTAAAATCTACCCTCACCCATATGAAATCCATTAGATCTAAGCAGTTTTACCAAGCATTCAAAGAGCAGCTATTCCTAATGTTATGCAAACATTTATATAGAAGAATTATGAATGTTCTCACAGCTCACTTAACAAAGCATCCTATATTAATTTCATGCACAAATACTGGTTTGTATCCTTAAGAGAAAGGGCCTTGTTTTTTTGTTCAAAAGACAATAATACCATTTCCCACCCAAATGACGGCAGGGTATGCATCTGCAGTTTTTACTTTTTAAAAATATTTTACTGATTTTTTTCAGAGAGGAAGGGAGAGAGATAGAAAGCAGAAACATCGATGAAAGAGAAACATTGATCAGCTGCCACCTGCACACCCCCCACTGGGGATGTGCCCGCAACCAAGGTACATGCCCTTGACCGGAACTGAACCTGAGACCTCTCAGTCCGCAGACCGACGCTCTATCCACTGAGCCAAACAGGTTTCGACAACTTTTACTTTATTATTGGGGTCATACTTTATACATAATTTTGTCTATTGGCTTTTTCACACCAAACTGCTACAGAGCACGCTCCACACTGCAAGATGTTCACAAGCCTCTCTGTGTGGGCCCATGTGGACCAGAGGGAAGTCTCCTCCTTCACCACAACTTTTGGCAGCTACAAATGAAGCAGCCCGGCCAGTGTGGCTCAGTGGTTAAGCATCAACCTATGAACCAGGAGGTCCAAGGTTTGATTCCCAGTCAGGTTGAGGGCTCAATCCTCAGTGTGGGGCGTGCAAGAGGCAGCCGATCGATGATTCTCTCTCATCATTGATGTTTCTATCTCTCCTTCCTTCCTATAATCAATATTTTAAAAAAAAAAGAGAGAGAGAGAGAGAGAGAGAGAGAGAGAGAGAGAGAGAGCGAGCGCAGAGGTTCCCAATCACAGCAGGTGCCGTGTTCAGCTTCTGACAGGTGGTCCAGGGCCCGGGCAGAAACATTTGTAAAGCTCCCAGCTGCTGCCACTGCGGTGCAGCCCTCATGGGTGCCACTATCGAAGCCTCGGGAAAGTCCCCCCCAAAAAAGAATGTCCACCTCTCACTGCTGTCATTACCTGCTTTCTCTCAACCCCCCTTCGGAAGAGGGAGCTGGTCAGAGGACTCCTACGTGCCTGTGAGAAGTACAAAGCCAGTAGCCACCACCCAGGGCGCAGCTGGTCTGACAGCTCCATCGTACTGCAGCCTACCCCCTCCTCCCTGCTGGAACAGTATCAGACTTCTGGAACATGAGGAAACATGGCTGCCACCACTCACCCTGGGTGGTGATGACCTCGGGAAGGACAAGAGCATGCTTCCGTGTTGGGAAAAGGAAAAGTGTACTTGGGAGCCTGGCTGGTGTGGCTCAGTGGTTGAACATCAGCTTGTAAACCGGGAGGTCACAGTTCAACTCCTGGTCAGGGCACATGCCCAGGTTGTGGGCTCCATCCCCAGTAGGGGGCGTGCAGGAGGCAGCTTATCAATGATATTTCTATTGTATCCATCATTTATGTTTCTCTCTCCCCATCTCCCTTCCTCTCTGAAATCAATATATATATATAATATATATAATTTTGAAGTGTACTTTCAGCTGGCCAGCATAGTTGAACATCTACCTATAGACTAGGAAAGTCACAGTTCGATTCCCGGTCAGGGCCCATACCCAGGTTGTGGGCTCGAACCCTGGTCAGGGACGTGCCTGAGGCAGCCAATCAATGATTCCCTCTCATCATCGATGTTTCTCTCTCTCTCCTTCTCCCTTCCTCTCTGAAATCAATACAAATACATATTTTTTTAAAAGTGTGCTTGTGAGAAGCATCCCCCCTCCCCTCCGTCAGACCATGAGGTGGCCACAACTCCAAACCCAAAGCAGGGGGGGAGGGGGGGGAAATGTGCCTACACAAAGATAACAAACTTCAAGTCCAAACCGCACTAGTACCAAGTCAGGGTGGGAAAAAGATCACTGCACCTTCCACCACATGGCAGAGCTGACCCCACTAAGGGCCAAAAAGCTCCTATAAAGCGAGGAACAAGAGACTAACAGCTCAAGAGCAAACTGGTCAACCAATACAAACAGGCCATTCACAGGTTGACTATGCCCTCCCCAGGGCAAGGCTATGGGGAATGAGGGGAAACCACACTGGGGGGCACCGGCACCATCCACCCCGTTTGCAGATGCTCAGTGTGGCCGCTTCTAAGAATCTGACCCAAAGACACACAAGGTTGACCCAATGCATTTTCACTGCGACATTATCTATGACAATAAAAGGACTGGCAACAAGGCAAATGCCGTGATGCAGCCTCCCAGCGGAAGAGCACACAGCCCAGGACTGTGCTGGCAGCGCATGCGCTGGAGCTGGGTCAGAGGGAAGGGCTCCCTCCCATCTCAGGCTGGGAAGCAGTCCTTCTCTGAGAGCCTTGACCTTGATTCCTGACTTCCTCAGTGGAGGTGAAAGAGGGAGCCCGAGAGGCAAGTGGTTCAAGCAGGCAGAACGGACGAAACGAGCACAGCGTCAGGCTGGGACCCCGTGGGACCTGAAAGAGGCAAACCAGCGGCCGGGGAAGCGGAAGCGGAAGTCCCTGCAGCTAGCTCGGGGCGCTCAAAGAAGCAGCCTGCTCTTCGTCACCTCGCCTGCAACGAGGCAGGCGGGAGAGGAGAGCGAAGATTGCACTGTCCTGGGCTGGTCCCTGGCAGGCGGCTCTACTGAATGCACTCCATGACGTGGATCTGCAGGGTGTCCATGTCAGGAGCCTGATACTGGCACTTGGGGCAGCAGAAGTCAGGCGGCTCCTCGGGGGGGCTTCTCCTCTGGCTGAACAAGGCGGGGTGAAAGGACTGGTGAGCTGCAGAAGGAGAACAGGCACCCGGTTACAGCACAAACTGCAGGGGGGGAGGGGACAGAAAGTACTGAGACCTGATCGGACCATCGGATCCAAGTACCAAGGTCATTGCCACTAGCGCCTTCCCATTCGAGCTCCCGCCGCCCAGGCTCCCCAGGCTGCCAGCACCCTGCCCTCCCAGCCCATCCTCCTGCAGCTCTCACCTTGGGCAGGGGGCTGCGAGACCTCATGCCGCTTCCTCATATCTTCAATCCTTTGAGAAGAGAAACTATGCAATCAATACGTGCAAGCCAAGCTCCGAGCGGGGTGCAAAGCTGACGGAAGGATGGGGCGGCAGGAGGAGAGACGGAGGGCCAGAAGCCCTCGCTGCTGGAGCCCCCACAGCACCCATCCCGCTCTGCTCTGCGTGGGCCACGTGCTCCCAGACCTACCTGGCCGACTCCTGACAGCTGGCCTTCAGCCTGCTGTACTCCCGCTGCAGCTGCTCCAGCTGCTCCTGCAGCAGCTCCTTCTTCTCGGCCAGCTTCTCCCGGGCCTGCCTCTCAGCCTGGAAATCAGCCTCGTAGATATCCGCCTGGCAACGCCAAGAGAGAGGAACGTGGCCCCCCACCCGTCAGCCACTCACTGGACACTGCGAGCCGCAGTTTGCCGACCACTGCGATGGGGCAGCCGAATGGCACTCAAGAGCCAGCACTAGACATTGCCTTTCTGTTCCAAGGTTTGGGGGAGGGGGCCCGCTGAAACTCTCAGCAGTGGACTTCCAGGTCCCCATGCTCCTAGGATCACCAGTGCTCGCCCTCACCAGCCACTTCCCTGTGTCCCTTCTCTCCTTAGGAAGAGCTCAGTCTTCAAGGAAGGCCCCGCCCATGGATCCTTCTCAGGACAACACAAAGGCAACAGCGAGGCTGCCCTCCTAAGCCACAGAGGGCCTGGGCTCCCCATCCTGCTCACCAGCACATGGACCACACACCCCTCACCTGGGCCTTGAGCACCGGAACGGTCTCCATCACAATCTTGTGCTGCTCCGCCTCTTCCTTCAGCTTATCGATCAATTCCTGCTTAGCCACAAGGGCCTCCTCGGCCTGCTGGAGCTGCTGCTTGAGATCTTCCAGCTGCATTCCCTGGGGATGGGCGAGGGGAGCTGATGAAGCCTGAGCTGCCCAGGCCCGGGGTCGTGCCACCCCCAGGCCGGCTGCTACTTTCGGGCAAGAAGAACCAAGAGGAACAGAAGATCGGCCCCAGGTGGCCTGCCAGCCACAAGATGGCAGTGTGTGCAGGGCACGGGAAGGTGGAGGCTGAAGGGGATCTGAGATGACCCTGAGGTCATCTGGCACAAGCTCCCACCCAGGCCGACACTCCCTTCCCAGAATCCCAGCTGGACAGCCCTCCCCCAACCCGCCCAAGGTCAAGAGCCGTGCTTCCTCCGGAGGCCGCGCGCCCACGCTGAGCTGGTCTCACAAATTAACTCCACCACGCGTCCACTACCCCAAAACGCATTGATCCTTCCATTCTGCCACCTGGTCAAAGGTCTGCTGGTCCCTCCCAGACACCCACATACACACACACACACACAGATACTCACACTCAGACACACACATACACAGATGCACTCAGACATAGCACAAATACACAAGCACAGAAACAGACACACATACAGACAGGCACATGCACAGATGCACAGACACAAGGACACATGCATGCACACACACCACCCAGCCATCCCTTTAGAGATTAAAGGGCCACAATATGGCAACTAACTCTTCCTGTGTGACTGGTTTCAGGCTTTACCCTTATAAGTCTCTTCTGCATATATTCATGTTTGACCAGCTCCTTCTTAAATTGTGGTGACTAAAAACTGTACCCAGCCCCGCCAGCATGGCCCAGCGGTTGAGCGTCTACCTATGAACCAGAAGGTCATGGTTCGATTCCTGGTCGGGGCACATGCCCGGGATTGCAGGCTCCATCCCAGTACTGGGTGTGTAAGAGGCAGCCGATTGATGATTCTCTCTCATCATTGATGTTTCTCTCTCCCTCCCTCTCCCATCCTTTCTGAAATCAATAAAAACATTTTTTTAAAAAAACAAAAACTGAACTCAGTAGAGGTCTAATAAGGACAAATTAGAAAAGGGCTCCCCGTTGACTTCAACACTGAAATGGAATCATGGAATCATTCCCAGAGAAATCTGAGCTAGGAGCCAAACTGGTGACGGCTAACAAGAGGACCCAGCCCAAGGAGGAGGTGGAGGCCCAACCCAGGTCACCACAGGCAGTAAGCAGCACAGCCCGTGGCCCCATCTCCCTGCAGTCTACCCTGAGCCAGCACACTGCGGCCTTGACAAAACTCTAAGATAAGTAGAGTGTCCCTCCCTTGCATTTGAGAGAGCAGGCCCCATAGGGGAGAAGCTGGGCCAGCTCAGTCCTAGCCAGTCCTGGGTGTGCCCGCCATACTCACTCGGTTTCGCTCATTACTCACGAGGCTACTCTTCATGTGGTTGTCATAATCTTGGAAGAGCTGGTGATAGGCTGCCTGGAGCTGCGCCAGCTTCCTCCTAAGAAAAAGGAGCTTTCCCTGGAGAAACCACCCTGTCCTGGACCAGCCACAGCTTTTCCTGTCTCCAACCCCGCCCTATTTCTTCCTCCCACAACCCCGAATGGGGCTGCCAGGGCACATACGTGCCTCAGAGGCCATCAGTTCCAAGGTACATAGTTAATATTCTTTTCCTCATAGCTAGCATATTTTGAAGTATGAAAAGAAATGTTTATAATAAAATGAAACTGCACTCTTTAAAAAAGTCAACTTCAAAAACAAAAAGTCAACTTCACACCCTAGCCAGTAAGGCTCAGTGGATAGAGTGTCAGCCTATGGACTGCAGGGTCCCAGGTTTGATTCTGGTCAAGGGCATGTACCTCGGTTGCAGGCTTGATCCCTGACCCTGGTTGAGGCACGTGTGGGAGGCAACCAATCCATGTGTATCTCTCACATTGATGTTTCTCTCCGTTTCTCCCCCTCCCTTACATTCTCTCTAAAGAATCAATAGGAAGCCTGGCCTGGTGTAGCTCAGCGATTGAGCATTGACCCAGGAACCAAGAGGTCACCAGTTCGATTCCTGGTCAGGGCACATGACTGGGTTGTGGGCTCAGGCCCCTGTGGAGGGCGTGCAGGAGTCAGCCGATTGATGATATTTCTCTCTCATCAATGTTTCCATCTCTCTATCCCTCTCCCTAAAAATATTAAAAATAAAAACGTTTAAAAAATAAATGAAATTGAAAAATAAGAAATCAAAAAATAAGAAATCAGTTTGGCTCAGTGGATAGAGCGTCGACCTGCAGACTGAAAGGTCCCAGGTTCGATTCCGGTCAAGGGCATGTACCCTGGTTGTGGGCACATCCCCAGTAGGGAGCGTGCAAGAGGCAGCTGATCGATGACTCTCTCTCACCGATGTTTCTAACTCTATCCCTCTCCCCTCCTCTCTGTAAAGAAATCGATAAAATATATTTTTTAAAAGAATCAATGGGGCAAATATCCTCAGGCGAGGATTAACAAAACAAAACAAAAAAAGTCAACTTCATGAAAAACAGAAAGGCAGGACTAGTCAAAGGTACACCAATCCTGGACCAGATGCTGCGAACACGTGGCCAAACAGTGGAGTCTGAATATGGCCTGGAGAATGCTGTCATTTCAAGTCTGAGTCACTTGGGAGTGACAATGGTTAAGGAACTGAATCCAGCCCGCAGCTACCGACAGTCCCTCGAAGGACTCTCCCACAGGCAGAAAGCCACCGTCCCTCTCTGGTCTCCATCCCTCTCACGTCAGGCACCACTCACTTCTCCTCGGAGGCAGCCTGGCGCTCCATGCGCAGAGCCGCCTCCATGCTCTGGTTCTGCATGCGCAGCTGGTCCACCTGCACGCTGTGCTGCTGCTGCAGCGCCTCCCGCTCGCTCTCCAGCTGCCGGGCCTGCTCACTGGCTGCCCGGGCCCTGGGTGGGGGAATGGGGAGGTCACGGTGGGGCCCCAGCAGGAGTGAGGGTGCTCACAGGAGCCCTGGGGAAGGCAGGTGGGAGCCAGGGAGCACTAGAAGCTCTGCAGTCTGAGGGGAGAGGACGGGGAGTCGTGGTTCAGAACATCCTGTCAATGCAGACCCAACACAGTGCGAGAAAGGGGAAGGTTGCCCTAGCTGGTTTGGCTCAGTGGATAGGACATCAGTTTTCAGACTGAAGGGTCCAAGGTTTGATTCCAGTTAAGGGCACGTACCTCAGTTGCAGGCTCGATCCCTGGCCTTAGTCAGGGAACATGCGGGAGGCAACCAATCGATGTGTCTCTCCCACATCGATGTTTCTCTCTGGGTCTCTCTCCTCCCTTCCATTCTCTCTAAAAATCAATAGAAAAATATCCTGGGGTGAGGATAACAAAACAAAACAAAGGAGGCACTGTCACTGGAGACAGGGACAACCGCAGGGCACCAGGTTAGGGGCAACGTGTTTGTGTCAATGCAGGAGCCCAGCCAACAACCCAGTGCAGGCGCCAAGGAGACCTGGGGCTCGGGTTCAGGCTGATGCCGTCCATTATGGAAGCCCCTTCAAAGGTGAAGGAGTGACCCCAGAAGAGGATGCTGATGGGCCAGGGGAGAGGAGCTCTCAGGAACCACCCCGTAGGGGCCAAGAGGCGGGGAATGGGCCCCAGGCAGAGTAGTCTCAGTGGAGGGGCCAGGAGAGATTGGCAGGAGAGGAAGTGGAGGCAGCCAGAAAAAAATAAGACTTTCTAGAAGGTGAGGGGAGCAAGGTAAGAAATAGGGTGGGAGTGGCCGGCCAGTGTGGCTCAGTGGTTGAGCATCGACCTATGAACCAGGAGGTCATGGTTTGATTCCCAGTCAGGGCACATGCCCGGGTTGTGGGCTCCATCCCCAGTGTGGGGCGTGCAGGAGGCAGCCGATCACTGATTCTCTCTCATCATTGATGTTTCTCTCTCTCTCCTTCTCCCTTCCTCTCTGAAATTGATAAAAAAAAAAAAAAAATTTTTTTTTAAAGAAACGGGTGGGGCAACTGGAGGGGGAGGCAGGGTCAGTGTGCTCAGGCAACTCTCTCCCTCCCAGTGACTATTCTAGAAGTGGCAAGGAAGTGGCTGGCCCGCCTCAGTGGCTCGTTTGGCAATCCAAACATCCACACCTGTGAGGAGAGCCTCCCGCCGGCCTGCCTGGGGGCAGCAGTAGCGTGGGGAGGAAATTCCTCTTTCCCTCCGTACCCCTGCAGCAGCAGCTCTCTCTTCTCCCCTGGGCGCCCCACAGCCCCCAGTCTTCCAATTGAGGCCCCATCTTACCCTCCAGTCTCCGATCTCCCATCTCCACATTCATATCCCCCTAATCTACAGTTCCAGGTTCCAACGTGTCACCCTGCCATCCCGAGGCCTTCCGCAGGCCCCACTAGGAGGGCAACAGTGAGTGTTTCTGGGTGGGGGCAGGTTACTGGACTTCGTTCCCCACACCCATCCAAATATACACCGAGTGCCAAATTATTAAGATATCTGAATATATAATATCAATAATATGGCCACTCGGTATATATACATTAGAGGCCAGGTGCATGAATTCGTGCATGGGTGGGGTGGGGTCCGTCCAGCCTGGCCAGGGGGAGGAGACATGGGTGGTTGGCCGGCCTGCCTGCTGATCAAACTCCTGGTGGAGGGGACAATTTGCATATTAGCCTTTTATTATATAGGATATACACTGAGTGCCCTATTATGCGTTCAGAGATCATAATAATCTGGCCACTCAGTGTGTGTGTGTGTGTGTGTGTGTATTGAACACACATTTGCATCTGTTATCAGATAAAAGTTAGGTGCTGATGCCCATCCAGCATGGCTCAGTAACTGAACATTGACCTATAAACCAGGAGGTCACGATTCGATTCCTGGTCAGGGCACAGCTCAGCTAAGCACCTGTCTCCACGCCCCTATGCTCACTCCCAGTCCTCCAGTCCCACATCATAGCCTAGAGTAGGGGTGTCGAACTCAATCAGAGAAGGGGCCAAAATCTAAAATCCAGCCTAAATCGCGGGCCGAATGGTTTACTGAACAGTCATAAACTGTCATTGTGATGGAAACGCAGCGGAGTGCAGTGATGACAGCGCGGTGCGGGCCACATTGCAAGGCCTGGCGGGACGGATTTGGCCCGCGGGCCTTGTGTTTGACACATGTGGCCTAGAGGAACGCCCGGAGATATCTGAGTGGCCTCAGTCTTCTCAGGTGCCCTGACGGAGGCCTCCAGGAGGGCTCGCCACTCACCTGGCCTCCAAAGCCTGCCGATCCTTGGTGGCAGCCTCCAAGCGGCTCTGGCTCTCCTGGAGCTCCCCCAGCAAGGACGTCACCTGGGCTTTCACCGAGGCCTTGTCCTCAGCCATCTGCTACATGGAAAAAACCCACTTCCTGTCAGCAATGCTTTCTCACCAGCTGCCCACCCCTGGGGGCCCCATCCTCTGGGGCAGCCTGCAAGCGCTAAGATGTGTCACCCTGAGGGTTTCTCTCCTGCCCTTGGCACCCCCACTCATCTCCAGCAGTTTCCAAACCCCAGCAAGGCAACTGATGCAACTGAAAGGGGTCGAATCCCATGAGCCCCTCATCTCTGCCGATGGGGTATGGTGAGACCCAGCACAGAGCGGCCTCGAGTCTCCTAACACTGAGGACCAGGCCCTGCAGGAATCTCTCGGCCTCTCTGAGACTAGACGCCAACTAAGATCTCTGCCAGCGACAAAATTCAAAAGTTGTCCAGCCCAGCCGGTGTGGCTCAGAAGGTGAGCATCGACCTATGAACCAGGACATCACAGTTCGATTCCCAATCAGGGCCACATGCCTGGGTTGCAGGCTCAATTCCCAGTGTGGGGCGTGCAGGAGACAGCCGATTCAGGGGTCCTCAAACTTTTTAAAGTGGGGGCCAGATCACGGTCCCTCAGAGAGCTGGAGGGCCGGACTATATGAACTACTAATTCCTACTGTAACACCTCGGCTGCGCTCACTGCCCAAAAAACCTGGCGGGCCGGATCAGACTCCTCTGCGGGCCACATGTGGCCCGCGGGCCGCAGTTTGAAGACGCCTGCTAGATGATTCTCTCTCATCATTGATGTTTCTCTCTCCCTCTCCTTTCCTCTCTGAAATCAATAAAAATCTATTTAAAAAGGGGAAAAAAATGTGTAGATCAAGTTTCCAGGCTAATTTTTTTTTTTTTAAAGAGCCCTTGCCGGTTTGGCTCAGTGGATAGCGCGTCAGCCTGAGGAACAAAGGGTCCCGGGTTCCAGTCCAGTCAAGGGCACATACCTGGTTGCAGGTTCCTCCCCGTCCCAAGCCCTGGACAGGGCTCGTGCAGGAGGCAACCAATCGATGTGTTTTTCTCACACTGATATTTCTGTCTTTCCCTCTCTCTTCCACTCTCTCTCAAAATCAATGGAAAAATATCCTCGGGTGAGTATTTAAAAAAAAAAAAAAAAAAGTTGCTCAGCCGGAGTGGCTCAGTGGTTGAATGTCGACCTGTGAACCAGGAGAACACGGTTCCATTCGCAGTCAGGGCACATGCCTGTGTTGCAGGCTCAGTCCCTGGTGGGGCGCATGCAGGAGCCAGCCATTTGGTGATTCTCTCTCATCATTGGTGTTTCTACGTCTCTCTCACTCTCCCTTCCTCTGTGAAATTAATTTTTTAAATATATTTCTAAAAAACGATGTCAAAACTCACCACTGCCTGATCTCCCTCCGAACCAGATCCCCTAACCTCAGGCTGCTCAGTCCTCCCATCACTGACCCCTGTGCAGTAACCCCTCCATAGTAACCGCCACTCCTGAGGGTGGTCGGGGGAGTCCCCTCTGGAAACACTGAGGGTTTTCAGAATTCCTGAGGCTGGTCGCACAGGAGGCCAGAGCCCCTAGCTTAAGGTGCCCAGACGTCCCGCTTTTGGCGGGAGAGTCCCGGTTTTTAACAATTCTGAAGCGGGACCATTGTTTAAAAGCGGGACTGTCCCGCCAAAAGCGGGACGCCTGGGCCCCTTACCCAGCTGGGCCGCCCCTGGGAGAAGCCCTGCCTGCCCCCTGGGCTACCTGCTGGCATCGCTTCAGGTGCTCCACCTCCTGCAGGGCCTGCTCCCTCTGTCTCTTCAGGTCCAGCTTCTCCAGGTTCAGTCTCTCCACCAGCTTCCTGGCCTCCTGGAACTTCTGCATGAGGAACTCCTTCTCCTCCCTCTGGCTGCCCTGGAATCGCTGCAGCTCCTCACAGCACTCCCGCAGCATCTGGTTGCTCTGCCGGATGGCATCTGGCAGCAGAGAAAACAGCCGAGGGGCGGTGAGCCCTGGCAGCCAGCCTGCCAGCCCCCTGGGCCTGGCACAGTGCACTCCCTGTAACACCGAGCCGCCTCTCACACCGAGTCTCACTGAATGAGAATCTTGTGATGCCACCTGGGCACGTGGGGCTACGCCTAAGTACCAAAGGGGCAGATTTGAAGCCCCGGAGGCATGATCAAGGGGTGAGGCCCCGTCACACAGAGGAGGAGGAATGCCCGACACCCAGGGACAGCCATGGCGCCAGATGGGCACAGTGCAATGGCCACTGGGACCTGGAGAAACTGCCCCGATTCAGGTGAGGATGTGGGGGTGAGAGTGGGGGCTGTGGTGGAGACAGGGATGGGGTGGTCAGAAAAAAACTCAACCCCCATCCACAAGTGGGGAGGAGGCAGTGGAGGATGGCCTTCAGCTGAGGACTCTTCACAGAGACACCTGGCCTAGGGTCTGGAGCCCAAGACTCCTCCCTTTCTTTCCCAAAGCAGCCCACATTCCCAGGACAGGCCACGCCCTTTCCCACAGAAGACCACGCCCCCTTCCACAGAAAGTCACGCCCCTTCCCACAGAAGGCCACGCCCCCTTCCCAGGATAGCCAGCACTTAATCACTAATCAGTATGGAAATACAAAGGCCTGGCCACCTTGGCTCAACTTGGGAGAACTCAGAAGGGTCATTCCAGCTCCAGAGCTCCCTGTAAGGTCGGCCTGAACTGCAGCCCAACTTCTCCCTCTGCCCACCCCTGCCTCTGCCCTGTCCTTCCCTTCCCTTCCCTACCCTTCCCTTCCTTTCCTCTTCTGGTCCTCAGAGCACTCTAAATAAACTTCCTACCCAGCCAGTGTGGCTCAGTGGTTGAGCATCTACCTATGAACCAGGAGATCATGGTTCAATTACTAGTCAGGTCCCCAGTGGGGGGCATGCAGGAGGCAGGTGATCAATGATTCTCATCGCTGACGTTTCTCTCTCTCTCTCCTTTCCTCTCTGAAATCAATTCTCTAAAATAGGGGTGTCGAACTCAATCAGAGAAGGGGCCAAAATCTAAAATCCAGCCTAAATCGCGGGCCGAATGGTTTACTGAACAGTCATAAACTGTCATTGTGATGGAAACGCAGCGGAGTGCAGTGATGACAGCGCGGTGCGGGCCACATTGCAAGGCCTGGCGGGACGGATTTGGCCCGCGGGCCTTGTGTTTGACACATGTGCTCTAAAAGAAGAAACTGCCTGCATATTTCTCTCTGTCTCACAGCATGCGTCCAGGGAACCCCATCCGAAACTCTGAGGGAGGGTGACTGAGCTTGACTTGCTAGCTGGCTGTCAGATATTCGCCTAGAGGTGACCAGATCGTCCCGCTTTTGGCGGGACAGTCCCTATCTTTAACAATTTTTCCCGCGACCTGCGGCGTTTTAAAAAAAAGTCCCAATTTTTGGAAAGAATCTTTCCAATATTTCCAAAAATCGGGACTTTTTTTAAATGCCTCGGGACGCGGGAAAAATTGTTCAAGATCGGGACTGTCCCGCCAAAAGCGGGACGATCTGGTCACCTTAGTACTAGACCCAGTAGACGCAGAGGCACAGGTGAGCAGAATAAGCCTTCCCCCAGCAGGGCTGGGGCCCCTGACTTTTGACTCCACACCCAGTGTCCTCCTCACCTCGGAGCTCTTGGTTCTCCTCCAGGCAGCGCTGGAAGGTCTCAGGAGCACCCTGCTCCGAAGGCAGGTGGAGCATGGTCGGCTTCCCCAGAGAAGGCTCTTCACCCGGCACGTCCTGGTCCCCAGCCGGGCCCCCGCTGGGCTGCACCATCTCACACTGCGGACTCTTCCAGGGGGGCCTGCTCATTCAACAAGTCAAGGTTTGGAAGAGAAAGGCAGCAGGAGCGTCACCCGGGATCTGTGCGGATTCCCCTGTAGGACAAGGAGCGCAGATGTCAGCAGCTCTGGGGCCATGCTGTGGGCAGAATGCCGAGCACTCTGTCTAGTGTAACAGGATGCGAGAGTGGGCTTTTTGGTCTAAGAGGTGACCCATACTCCCATTCCAAAGGGAGGTGCAGGCCCACATGTGGGACTTGGGAAAAGCCATGGTTCAGCACTGGTTAGAAACGCTTGTCTAGCACCTGTCTCTGGGCTATAAGCTGAAATTAAGAATTTCATGCCCTGGCTGGTGTGCTCCGTGGTTAGAGAGCCAGCCCACACACTGAAGGATTTCCGGTCAAGAGCACATACCTGGGTTGCACGTTCTATCTCCAGCCTGGCCTACTAGAGGCAATCAATCACCAATCGATGATTTCTCTGTCTCTCCCCCCTCCCTTCCATTCTGTCTAAAAAATGAATGGAAAAATATGCTCAGAAGGATTAACAAAAAATAAGAGAAAGAAACCATTCACAAAAGACCACATATTGGCCGAAACCGGTTTGGCTCAATGGATAGAGCGTCGGACTGCAGACTGAAAGGTCCCGGGTTCGATTCCGGTCAAGGGCATGTACCTTGGTTGTGGGCACATCCCCAGTAGGAGGTGTGCAAGAGGCAGCTGATCGATGATTCTCTCTCATCGATGTTTCTAACTCTCTCTCTGTAAAAAGTCAATAAAATATATTTTTTTTTAAAAAGACCACATATTGTATGATTCTGTTTATATGAAATGTACAGAATAAGCAAATATATAAAGACAGAAAGCTGCTCTGTCGGGGTGGCTCAATGGTTGAGCATCGACCCATGAACCAGGAAGTCTCTGTGTAATTCCTGGTCAAGGCACATGCCCAGATTGTGGGCTTCATCCCCAGTAGGAAGTGTACACAGCCAATCAATGATTCTCGCTCTCCCTTCCTCTCTCTGAAATAACTAAAAAGAAAAGTTTTTTTTTTTTTTTTTTTAAAGAAAGCTTAGTGGATGCTTAGAGGTAGGGGAGATGGAGTGATGGAGGTGATAGCTAAAGGGCAATGGGTTTCTTTTTGAAATGATGAAAATGTTTTGGAATTACCAGTGATGGTTGTACAACTCTGAATATCCTAAAACCCAGTGGATTGTACACTTTAAATGGGTGAATTCTGTGGTATGTGAATTATATCTCAATAAAGCTGTTCTTGAGCAATAATAATAATGAGGCAGGATTATAAGGGGTATAAACAAAATCGGCCATGAGTTGATAATTGTTCAAGCTGGGATGTGGGTACATGGGGTTTTCTATACGATTCTTCCTACTTTTGTTCATCTTTTAAATCTTCATAATAAAATGCTCAAAGTACCATGTCTCCTATCAGGCCATCCTGTTCCTAACCTTGCTCCCTACAATCGGCCAGAAAAATCAGCCTAAAAAAGTAATTCCAATCACTTCCCTGCTCTAGTCAGACGCCTACCAAGGATCCTCATTGCCCTCCGTGCAAAAGCCAAAGTTTCTAGTAGAGCCTAAAGATCCGGTACTATCTGATTCCCCATAACTTCCTCTCCAGGTGCCTTACTCCGATCCAGCTACAGTGGCCTCTGCTGTTTTAAAAACATGCCAGGATGGACCATTCATTCTCGAGTCACACACACGCGCGCGCGCGCGCGCGCGCACACACACACACACACACACACACACACACACACACGGTATGAGGTCGGGTAGACAGTAATCGTTTTTGCAAAGTGAGCAAACGGAGGCACGTGGAGATAAGATCGCTGCCAAATTGTATTGGGATCTTTTTTAAGAATTTAACAACCTCAAATGCAGTCAAGTTTGATGAACAGAAAATATCTCCGAACTAGAAGAGTCATCCACGAACTAGGGGCGTGGTCAAACTCCGCAGCCACGGAGGAGGGACAAGCGGAACAGTCAAGCTCGCCGCCAAAGTAACCTGGGTCCAGCATTGGCCCCGCCTGGGCCAGTGCCCTAGGAGCGGGCAGCAGAAACGGACCGGGGCCCAACAGGAGTAGGAAGCCTGGACGTCCGGGGGAATCTAGGAGGCGGTGGGCCGCCCACCGATGGTACCCTGTCTTCCTGTCTTCGGGGAAGAGGGCCACACCTGTCAGCAGAATCGATCCGACGGGAGAAGGGCGGGAGCAGCGGGTCGCGAGCGCTCCTCGAACCCGTCACTCCAAGTCCCGATTCCGCGGTAGCTCTTCCCTTCTCCGGCGGCTGAAATCCCCACTTCCGGCTTCCGGTGTCGTTGCCACGGTATCCGGGCTCCTCGAGTCCGTCACTCCAAGTCCCGATTCCGCGGTAGCTCTTCCCTTCTCCGGCTGCTGAAACCCCCACTTCCGGCTTCCGGTGTCGTTGCCACGGTATCCGGAAGAAAAACACATAAGCCCTGCCCACGTCCAGGAGGCCGGCAAGAGGTGTGAAGGAGGCTGTTCCCCAAGAAGCCCGAGCCCGCCAGCCTCCGCCGGCCCTCAGTACTTTCCCTAGTGACGTGAGCACCCGCTGTTTTTCCCAGCGTCAAGCCCACATTTCTCCTAGTCTCTCCGGCAGCGGCATCCAGCCCCGGGTCGCGCGGCAGCCCCGCCCCCGCAGGGGGAGGAGTCACGACGAGGCGATTTAATTGGACCCGTTTGACCCCAGCGACCCGTCTGGACCAGGAGGCGGGGCCAAGCCGTAAACGGGGGTCCAGGAGGCGTGGCCAAGCCGCCGGCGGATGTGGAGCCCTTCGCGAGGGCACAGGGCGACCCGGGTCGGAGGAGAAAGCCGATTGCAGGGGCGGGGCCGAACCTGCAATGGATAAGTGAGCAAACGGCCAGAGCTGCCCCCGATCCTGCTAGGCGTCAGGTACGCGGAACAGTGGCGGCCGGATCGGCAGCTTGACCGCAGCTCAGGAACCGGCGCAGGTGCCCAAGGGGCGGGGCGGGCAAAAGGAGGGGGGGCGGCCTGGGATGCGCGCGCATCTGCCCGCGCCGCGCCCCGCCCCCGCGAGGGAGGGGTCCGCGGAGGCCCCGCCCACGCGCCTCGCCTGAGGCGGTCAGCTCAGCCCGGGCGCCCGCCTCCGCTAGTTAAATGGACCGGCGGGTCGCAGCGTCCGGAAACGGCCAGCAACTCCAGGGCTGCGAGCGCGGCGACAGGCGGCGGCAACCGGACACAAGTAACGAAGCGGGTGAGTGTCACGCCGTCCGAGGGGCGTGCTGCGCCGCGAGGCCCTCCGATGTGCGCGCTGAGTAGCCGGGCAGAATCAAAGGGTCTCACATCCAATCGTCCCCATCGGACCCCTGGGGAGACAGACCCTGAGAGGGACAGGGACTCGCCGGAGTCTCCCAGCTTGGCCTGAGGAGGGCTGGAGCTGCAGGGCTCACGTGCTCCAGCTCACAGGGGAGTTTCCACTTGGGATCCTGGGTGAGATGCTGCAGCAGAGTTTTGCTCACTCCTCCAGAATGGTGGCTCCAGTTGGAATCCACCGGTTCTTTGTGTAACTTTGTAAAGCACATCCTGAAAGGAGGCTGATCTGGGGAGTATGGCCGGAACGCACAGCCAGAAGTTTCTAACCCCCTCCCCCATTTTGCTCCTGCCCCCCGCCATCCACAGCGAGTGGTTTCCATCCTTAGACCTCAGCTGGGTGAGAGCTCAAAAGGCCCCTTAAGAGAGGGACCAAGTTCTCAAAGCTTTTCTGTTCCCCTGCCTTGCCAACAAGTCTTTCTCTCAGCAGAGAGCATCATGGCAGAGCAGGTGGACCTGAGCCGGACCCAGGTGTGCGGGATCCTGCGGGAAGAGCTGTACCAGGGTGATGCCTTCCATCAGTCCGAGACACATGTCTTCATCATCATGGGGGCATCGGTGAGTCTCCCCTAGGCCCTGCCTCTGAAAATGCAAAGTTAGAGCGCGATGTTGCTTAAGAGCCTTTCCTGCCAGGTGCTGGAGCTTCCCCAACCGATTGTTGGGGGGCCACTGGGGCTCCCCCTCTTGTTCCTGCCTCTGTGCCGTGATCCCCCCCAGCCCCGCCTGGAATACACTCACTTCCAGGCATTTCTGAAATCTCTGTGCAGCCCTTGACTGCAGGCCTGTGTCCTAGCGCTGGGAGGTCCTTGGGGACGGTCTGATCGGGCTTCCTCCCCCCTGGGGAAAAGTGAGGTGCAGACAGGGGAGGCGATTCATGCCACGCCTGTCTTTTTCAAACCTGTTTGTGACCTGACAAATGTCACACAGCCTGCTGATTCCAGAGGCGGGATCCGAGGCCCTATCTGCATCTTGTCTCTTTCCCAGTCAAGTTCCCCGGGGACAAACTCCCATCCCTCCTTTGAACACTGCCTCTTTGCCTTGACTTCCAAGGCCTGCTGAGCCCCATGGCCTAGCCAGTGGCCCCATCATTTTGCTCTGAAAAGATCTGCTAAGCAGCGCATGACCATTTTTGCCCATAACTTAATCTTGAGCCAGAATTCTACCAAAAGCCCTGGTGGATGATGATTCGAGCGTTGGCCTGATGACCGAAGGGTCTTGGGATCAATTCTCAGTCAAGAGCACGCGCACCTGGGTTGCAGGCCCTAGCCCTGGTTAGGGTGCGTGCTGGAGGCAACCAATCCATGTGTATCTCTCACATGGGTGTTTTCTCTCTCTCCCCCATCCCTTCTACTCTCTATAAATCAATGGGGAAATATCCCCAGGAGAGGATTAACAAACAAAAAAAAAGAATTCACCAAAACCGGTTTGGCTCAGTGGATAGAGTGTCGGCCTGCGGACTGGAAGGTCCCGGGTTCGATTCCGGTCAAGGGCATGTACCTTGGTGGCGGGCACATCCCCAGTGGAGGGTGTGCAAGAGGCAGCTGATCGATGTTTCTCTCTCATCATCGATGTTTCTAACTTTCTATCCCTCTCCCTTCCTCTCTGTAAAAAAAAAAAAAAAAAAAAAGAATTCTACCAAAACTAGTTGGCTCTTGACAGCGTAGTCATTGTCTCTCTGTGCCTTTCACATCTTGGTCCCCTCAGCTCTGGAGGACCTTGGTTCTTTGTTCCCTTTGCAGAGCCTGCTCCCTACCATCTTGGAAAAGGAGAGCCAGGGAGGAGGGTCTGCCGGTGGGGGGCAGGGAGGTCCCCCTTAAGCATCACCCTCTGCCTCCCCATAAGCCCAAGTCGGGGGGATGCACAAGAGGAACACGGGGAGGAAGGCTTGGCCTCCAAGCCTGGTCCCCCCCTCCCCCAGAGGAGCTGTACCTGTGTTGGCCGCTAACTTTAAGACCTAGGACTCTGACCATTAGGCCCTTTGTCTAGGACAGTGGTCGGCAAACCGCGGCTCTCGAGCCACATGCGGCTCTTGGGCCCCTTGAGTGTGGCTCTTCCACAAAATACCACGGCCTGGGCGAGTCTATGTTGAAGAAGCGGCGTTAGAAGAAGTTTAAGTTTAAAAAATGTGGCTCTCCAAAGGAATTGCAATTGTTCTGATGATAGTTGGCTCTGTTGACTAATGAGTTTGCCAACCACTGTGCCAGGAAATAGTTTGGAAAAGAAAGTAACTTGGGATTATGTCTCCTCCTTTCCCTCATCCCCATACCAGCCTGTCACTGGATGCACCAACAGAGCATCCCAGGCCACAAGAAATGGCTTACAGCCGAAACTGGTTTGGCTCAGCGGATAGAGCGTCAGCCTGTGGACTGAAAGGTCCCAGGTTTGATTCCGGTCAAGGGCATGTACCTTGGTTGCGGGCACATGCCCAGTGTGGGGTGTGCAGGAGGCAGCTGATCGATGTTTCTCCCTCATCGATGTTTCTAACTCTATCTCTCTCCCTTTCTCTCTGTAAAAAAAAAATCAATAAAATTTTAAAAAATGGCTTACAGCTCCAGGTCCTCACATTTTAGATGTTTCATTGAGAGCATCCAAGCTTGCTGTGTGACCTGGGGCAAGTGTCTTCCCTTCTCTGAACCTGTGTTTCTACATAGTAAATGAGGGCGCCTTTTTTTTCCATATATTTTTATTGATTTCAGAGAGGGAGAGAGAGAGAAACATCCATGATGAGAGAGAATCATTCATCGGTTGCCTCCCACAACCTGGGCATGTGCCCTGACGGGGAATTGAGCTGTGACCTCTTGGTTCATAGATCGACGCTCAACCACTGAGCCACACCGGCTGGGCGCAAATGAGTTTTTTGAAGCAAGTGCCAGGGGTCCTTGGACTCGCCGAGCTGATTCTGTGACTCCTCACTGCCTTCAGCTGTAACCAGCTTGGGGTTGGGCAACTTTGTTTTTCTTGCAATTAGTAGGGTTCCCCTTTGCTCTCCTCTGCCCTAGAGTGATAATCAGAAGCTTCTAGAGCAGAAGTAGGAAGTGCTGCTCCAGCAGGTGGAGTGGGGGAGCGCAGGAAGGGTGTCCGTCCTCCTGTTCATTTCTCCATCTCCTGTTTAAGGGCTGGAGCTGGGTGAGCCAGCCTCCCACACTCAGACAGCACGTAGAACAGCTCCCAGCGTCAGGCCTCCCATGCCTGCTCCTTCATCGCAGGAGGTAGGTGGGGCGGTACTATGAGAAACCAGTGAGTTTTCTGTTCATTCTTCCAACAAATGGCCATCAAGTGCCTCCTTGCAGCACAGAGACAGGCCCCGCCCTCCCCCTGGGACCTGTGTGCTGGGGGCTCCGGACCCAAGGTGATTTAGCAACACAATAAGAATTCAGAGTGGCGCGTGTGACAGAAGACACAAGTAGGCCTTTGTGTCACCTCCCCTGTCCCTCAGCAGCCAGATCTCATAAGGAGAGGTCTGCGGAGCCAGGGAGCATTCCACGCAAAGGAAAGAGCAAACATAGAACCCCCAGTGACTGGTGGGCCCCCCCCGGGGCAGCCTGAGCCCATGTGGCCAACTTCTGCCCCTTCCTCCTCCCCCACCCGCTTACCCAACCCTCGCCATACACCCAACTTCCTTCCGGAAGTGTTGTGATGCTGGCTCACGGGGTTACCCAATGGGCTTGAAGCTGCTGTTTGTTCCCCCTGCTGTGTAGCCACTTCCCCCCTCATCAGGAATCCCAACCCAAGCAAGAAGAGCGTGTAGTTACTTCCTGCCCCAGTCCAGAAAACTTTGGGATAAAAGAAACCAGTTTCTGTCTGGCCGGTGTGGCTCAGTGGTTAAGTGTCAACCAGGTCACAGCTCCATTCCTGGTCAGGGCACATGCCTGGGTTGCGGGCTCCATCCCCAGTGGAGGGCATGCAGGAGGCAGCCGATCAGGGATTCTCTCTCATCACTGATGCTTCTGTCTCTCTCTCCTCCCTTCCTGTCTGAAATCAATAATAAATAAATAAAATATATTTTTAAGAAAGAAACCAGTTTCTCCTTACAGATCAGCATGAGGGGAAGAATCCTGGGCCCGGCAGATCCCTTTGTTCCCCATCTGGTAGGACCTGGGCCAGCCTGGGGTGACTCTTCCCTCCACGGATACAGAGAGGAATGGGAGTAAGAGAAAGAGACCCGACTGGGAATCCACGAGGACAGGATTGGCTGACTGTATGGTTCTCAGGGAGCCCCTCATCTCTCTTGGCCTCAGTCTCCTCACCTGGACCCCAGAGGCCATGGGCTCAGTGAGTGCCCAGTGACCTGGCAACCCGGCACCTCCCTTTCTTTCCTCGGAATGTTCCTGGACTACCTTCCCCTTGGGTCGATAAGATTCTTGCTGTGTCATGATGACATTGGCAACAACCCCCGCCCCCCCAAAGTTCTGGTGATTCACCAGCCCTAGGGTGGAGCAGGGAGCTCCTTTTGTTGGCTTTGCAGCTAAGCCTACCTCGGCAGCCCTCAGTTATCTCAGCCCACTGGCCAAGGGCCAACTGGGCCCCAGCCAGGGCCCAGGCTCCACCCCAAGAGACCCAGCAGGTCCTTTTTAAAAAATGTGTTTTTATTGATTTCAGAGAGAGAGAGAGAAACACGAATGATGAGAGAGAATCATTGTTCGGCTGCCTCCTGCACGCTCCCCATTGGGGATCGAGCCCGCAACCCGGATGTGTGCCGTGAGCGGGAATCAAATCACAACCTCCTGGTCCATAAGTCGACTGGGCCACGCTGGTTGGGCACCCAGCAGACTCTTGACCTCAGTGACCCTAGCGGGACAAGATGGCCCACCCTTCGGAGCTTTGAGCCGGCAGCCAGCCCCTGGAGCGCTCTGTCACGCCTTTTGCCATAAAACCCTCGCAAACACATCAGTGGTGGTTTGTGCCTATAAGACAGGCTACAGAAGTCAAACCTGGGTGGCAACAAGCGGGTGGTGGGCAGGCTTCTCTGCCCCAGCCAGACCAGAGACTGGTGGCTGGAGATCCCAGGCAGGTCCTGCTTCTCCGGCTAAGTCACATGTTCCCAAGCAGCTCCTCTCCACTGTGATGCTCCAGCAAAATGAAGGGTTTAGGGCTCAGCCAGGGAGGCTCAGTGATTGAGCGTGGACCTATGAACCAGGAAGTCACGCTTCGATTCACGGTCGGGGCATACGCCATGGTTGCGAAGCTCAATCCCCTGTGTGGGGCGTTCAGGAGGCAACCGATCCATGATTCTCCCTCATCATTGATGTTTCTCTCTCTGTCCTTCTGCCTTCCTCTCTGAAATCAATATAATTTTTTTTTTTTTAAATGAAGGATAGAGCCGAAACCGGTTTGGCTCAGTGGATAGAGCGTCGGCCTGCGGAGTGAAAGGTCCCAGGTTCGATTCCGGTCAAGGGCAAGTACCTTGGTTGCGGGCACAGTCCCAGTAGGGAGTGTGCAGGAGGCAGCTGATCGAAGTTTCTCTCTCATCGATGTTTCTGGCTCTCAATCCCTCTCCCTTCCTCTCTGTAAAAAAATCTATAAAATATATATTTTTTAAAAATATATTTTAAATAAATTGCCGAGGCCGGTTTGGCTCAATGGATAGAGCGTCGGCTTGGGGACTGAAGGGACCCGGGTTCGATTCCGGTCAAGGGCATGTACCTTGGTTGCGGGCATATCCCCGGTAGGGGCTGTGCAAGAGGCGGCTGATCGATGACTCTCTCTCATCGATGTTTCTAACTCTCTATCTCTCTCCCTTCCTCTCTGTACAAAATCAATAAAATATATTTTTAAATATATATATATATATTTAATAAATATATAATAAATGAATAAAAATAAATAAAAATAAATAAAAATAAATAAATAAAAATAAATAAATAAAATAAATAAAAATAAATGAAGGATAGAGGAAAGATTGCCGCATCTCACCAAAAGCCCCTGTAATTGCTCCACACCCACATGTGGCATGCTTAGATCTGATCAGTGTCTTCCCACATTCCTTCTGGCAGAGGAGTCCGGCCCAGGCCGGCTTCGAGAGCTGCTGCCAGGCCTCACACCCTCCTCTGCCCTGGGTGCTGTCACCTCTTCCTCAGGTGACCTGGGGCCCAGCAGACCCGCTGGGTGCAGAGGCTGAGCGGAACAAGACAAGCAGGTTCTCTGGCTAATTAATCCCAGAGGGAATGGCAAGAGCAAACAGACGGGTGTGGGCACCGTGACTCAGCAGACAGGAAACTAGTCCCCTGCCACCACTCCATGCCCACGGCCTGTCCCGATTCCCCACGGCCTGCTGGAATGTGACGGTAAGCAAACAGCTCCTGCCACCAGGCATTTGCAGGCCGAGCTTCTGATTATGTCTCCTGCGGACTAGTCCCCAGCAAACCCTCTCCTGGACAACAGGCCGAACACTGAGCCAGGTGACAGAAGCAGAGTCCTCACCCAGCCCCACTGATGGGAGAGGCCAGAGGCGGGCACTGCTGTTCGCTATAGGTATTGCCGCCCTGAGGGCTCCTGGGTCCCGAGGGACAGAGAGGGGAAGCCTCGGAGCTGGTGAGGGCAGCCATCTGATGCCACTATGGTAGTGCTTCGCGTGGAAGGTGGCAGTTAGGGACGCGCTCCCAGCCATTAGAGATCAGCGGTGAGCAGTTGGCAGGCTTGGGCAGGGGCACCGGCACGGCATACCCTGATTTGGAAACGGCCCGCTTTGCAAGTTTGGGGTCCCGACTGGAGATGGCCAGCCCACACCTGCTTGTGTGAGCTGGTGCTCAGCAGACTCTGGGCTGGAAGACACCTGGAGGTGTCCGCCTGCAGGTCCCCACCTTAAGCCCTGGGTAGAGGTGAGGTCACCCAAGGACACTGAAGACGAAGCAAAGGACAGGAGGAGCATGAACATTCAAGGCAGCAGGCATTCCAGGGAACCTGCATTTTCAGAAACTGCCTTCCCCCACCTCTGCCCACAAAGGGACCTCCCCCCTCCAGGAGCACCCTCCTAGGCCCCCAGTGCCTCCTGACTGCCTGTCTTTGGAGGGATTTTCTTTCATTTATTCTCAAGTGCCACTAGTCCTTTTTTTTTTTTTTTTTTAATATATTTTTGTTGATTTCAGAGAGGAAGGAAGAGGGAGAGAGAGAGAGAAACATCAATGATGAGCCGAAACCGGTTTGGCTCAGTGGTAGAGCGTCGGTTTGAGGACTGAAAGGTCCCAGGTTCGATTCCGGTCAAGGGCATGTACCTTGGTTGCGGGCACATCCCCGGTAGGGAGTGGGTAGGGGGTGTGCAAGAGGCAGCTGGTCGATGTTTCTCTCTCATCGACGTTTCTAGCTCTATCCCTCTCTCCTCCTCTCTGTAAAAAAATCAATAAAATATATTTTTTTAAAAAGAAAAAGAAAAGAAACATCAATGATGAGAGAGAATCATGGATCGGCTGCCTCCTGCACGCCCCACACTGGGGATCAAGCCCACAACCCAGGCACGTGCCCTTGACCGGAATCGAACCTGGGACCTTTCAGCCCTCAGGCCGACGCTCTATTCCACCCAGCCAAACCGGCTAGGGCGCCGCTAGACTTTTTAAAATATATATTTTTAATTGATTTCAGAGAGGAAGGGAGAGAGAAACAGCAATGATGAGAGAATCATTGACTGGCTGCCTCCTGCACTCCCCACACTGGGAATGAAGCCCACAACCCGGGCATCTGCCCTGACCAGGACTCGATCTGTGACCACTGAGCCACACCGGCCAGGCAGCAGAGGGGTTTTAACCAGGTTGGGATTGCATTGGTCCCAGGCGCATGGCCTCCTTTTTTTCTGCCTGGGGCGAATTCAGATCCATCGCAGCCTAGCATGATCTTATCCCCGCCCCCACCCCATTGATTGGCAACGCCGAGTGGAGCCTCGGTCGTGTCCGGGCCCGTCCCGAGCTTCAATTACAGGGCAGGCAGATGAAAGGGCTTGCTGCTCTGTTCCTCTCCCGGAGCCTGTGACCGGAGGCTGACAAAGTGACAGCGCGTGGGAATGCCCACAGCCACTGGGCCGGAACCTGGGGAGAAGGAACCTTGTGATTCTTTCTAATGAGTCTGCTGTCAAGTTTGTGCACTTTGCCATATCGTTGCTCACAGTTGCCGTGTATCACACCCTTGCTTTTCTTTTGGGAAATGTTCACACGCACACAGAGTCGACAGAATAGCCCTATGAATGGCCACTGTCCATGGCCCAGCTCCCACAGTGCTCTGCCATCTTGCTTTACCCACTTTCTACCCTCTGCTCAATTCCTGTGGGTTTGTTCTTTTTTACCATGTTTTTATTGATTTCAGAGAGGGAGAGGGAGGGAGAGAGAGAAACATCAATGATGAGAGAAAATCATTGATCGGCTGCCTCCTGCGCGCCCCCCACTGGGGATCAAGCCTGCAAACCCCAGCGTATATATACCCTGATCCGGAATCAAGCCCGGGACCATTCAGTCTGCAGGCCGATGCTCTAATCACTGAGCCAAACCTGGTAGGGTTTTATTAGTCTTTTTCAAACACCAGATTTTGGCTTTGTTCATCTTTTGCTTTGCTTTCTATTTTATTAATTCTTCTTTATTTCCCGCCTTGTAAATTGTTCAGCTTGAAAATTCTGCTGTGCTTGCCCTGGCTGGTGTGGCTCAGCTAGTGTGGCTCAGTTGGTCGTCCCATGCACCAAAAGGTCGTGGGTTCGATTCCCAGTTAGGGCACATATTCAGGTTGTAGATTCGATCCCCAGCCCCAATTGGGAGCATGTACAGAAGGCAGCCAGCTGATCGATGTTTCTGATGTCAATGTGTTTCTCTCTCTCTGTCTCTCTCTCTCACACACCCCCACCCCTCTCTATAAAAATCAATGCAAATGTCGGGTGAAAAAAAAATTTAAATATATTTTATTAATTTTTTACAGAGAGGAAGAGAGAGGGATAGAGAGTTAGAAACATCGATGAGAGAGACTCATCGATCAGCTGCCTCTTGCACACCCCCTACTGGGGATGTGCCCTCAACTAAGGTACATGCCCTTGACCGGAATCGAACCTGGAACCTTTCAGTCCGCAGACCAAGGCTCTATCCACTGAGCCAAACCGGTTTCGGCCTTCGTACAAGTTTTGATATGTGCCACTTCCACTGCCATTCGGCTCCAGTGAGCAGCATATCCGGGTTTCCTTCAGCCCGGGAGCTGCCCGGAAGTGGGCCCTCTGGTTGGGGTTTGGCTCCCTTTGCTTGCACCAAGGCCAGAGACCACGGCCTGTGTGACTGCAGAGTGGCCAGGCTGGTCCTGGTGCCTCCTGGCCAGCAGAGGGGCCGCCTACCTCAAGGAGGCTCCTGCGATACGTGGGTGCTGTTAGTTCAGGGTCACCGTAAAGGCTCTCATTCAAGCTCCTCTGACTACCTCAAGGAGGAAAACAGGTATGCTTCTGGCCGAGACCGGTTTGGCTCAGTGGATAGAGCGTCGGCCTGCGGACTGAAAGGTCCCGGGTTCGATACCGGTCAAGGGCATGTACCTTGGTGGCGGGCACATCCCCGGTAGGGGGTGTGCAGGAGGCAGCTGATCGATGATTCTCTCTCATCGATGTTTCTAACTCTCTATCCCTCTCTCTTCCTCTAGGTAAAAAAATCAATAAAAAAATATTTTAAAAAAATATCCAGGATATCTCTAAATTAAAAACAAAACAAAACCAAAAAAAAACAGGGATGCTTCTGGTTGAGTGCTGACCCCGAGTGAGTACCCAGATCCCAAAGTGGGGTGACAACCTAGGTCATGTCCCCAGCTTCTCTTTCTTTTAAAACATGTATTTTTATTAATTTCTGAGAGGAAGGGAGAGGGGGAGAGAGAGAAACATCAATGATGAGCCAAAACCGGTGTGGCTCAGTGGATAGATCATTGGCCTGTGGACTGAAGGGTCCCGGGTTCGATTCCGGTCAAGGACATGTACCCTGGTTGCGGGCACATCCCCAGTAGGGGGTGTGCAGGAGGCAGCTGATGGATGTTTCTCTTTCATCGATGTTTCTGACTCTGTATTCCTTTCCCTTCCTCTCGGTAAAAAATCAATAAAATATATTTGAGGGGAAAAAAAAAGAAAGAAAAACATCAATGATGAGAGACAATCATTGATCAGCTGCCTCCTGCACGCTCCACACTGGGAATGGAGCCCACAACCCAGGCACGGAACCGTGACCTCCTGGTTCATAGGTCAGTGCTCAACCACTGAGCCATGCTGTCCGGGCTCCCCAGCTTCTCCTAACCATGCCTGTTCCCTCCGCCACAGGGTGACCTGGCCAAGAAGAAGATCTACCCCACCATCTGGTAAGCACCCCCTCCACTCATCCCACTGCCCCGGGCCTTCCAGGCCTTCCCCCCCCTCCCCGCCCTGCCCTCGGCCATGCTTTGCCCTCAGGTGGCTGTTCCGGGACGGCCTTCTGCCCGAAAACACCTTCATCGTGGGCTATGCCCGCTCTCGCCTCACGGTGGCTGACATCCGGAAGCAGAGCGAGCCCTTCTTCAAGGTGAGTAGCTGCTGGGGTCTGTGAAGGGGTGCCCTTCCCTCCTCCCATTCCCGCTCTCTGCTTCTCCTCCCCCCGAGCCCGGCCCTCCTCTCCTTGTCCCGGTCAGGCCTTGTTAAGACAGTCACCGGGGGCCACTCATGCCCAAGCGTGTCATCCTTTCCCTCCTCAAAACCACCCACACCACTCTGCCAAGTTGGCACAGAAAACTCTGCCCTCCTGCTTCTGCCACTTCCTTGATGACAGGGGGAGCGCAGAGTGGAGTATAGGAACCCCGTGAGCCTGAGACTCCTGTTTCCCACCCCCCTCATGTGGGCTCGCTGGGCCCCAGGACCAGGAGCAGAAAAAGCCTCTAGCCCAGGGGTGGGGAATGTCCGGCCCGAGGGCCGTATAAGGCCCGCAAAATCCTTTAATCCAGCCCTGCCAAGGCATTAGGAGTGAATGAAATGTCTGACCAAATATAGCAGGCTAATTTTTTAAAGGCCATTTATTTATTTATGTAGATGTTATTGTTCATTCTCACCTGGGGATATTTTTTCCATTGATTTTTTTTTTTATTCTAACTTCTCTAGATTCCTTTTTACTTGTTTTATTTGTATAGATTTCACAGAGGAAGACAGAGGGAGAGAGATAGGAACATCAGTGATGAGAGAGAATCATCGATCGGCTGCCTCCTGCATGCCCCCTACTAGGGATCAAGCCAGCAACCTGCATGTGCCCTGGACCAGAATCAAACCCGGGACCCTTTAACCCACAGGCTGACGCTCTACGCACTGAGCCAAACCGGCTAGGGCTCCATTGATTTTTAGAGAGAACGGGTGGGAGGGGGAGAGACAGAGAAACTTCAATGTAAGAGAGACACATTGTTTGGTTGCCTCCTGCACGAGTCCAAGCAGGGCCAGGGACAGAGCCTAAACTAGCTATTAAGTTAAGTGGATAATTTTGTATGGCCCTCGAATGATGTTATAAATATCCATATGACCCTTGCCAGATTAAAGGTTCCCCACCCCTGCTCTAGACTAGGGGTGTCGAACTCAATCAGAGAAGGGGCCAAAATCTAAAATCCAGCCTAAATCGCGGGCCGAATGGTTTACTGAACAGTCATAAACTGTCATTGTGATGGAAACGCAGCGGAGTGCAGTGATGACAGCGCGGTGCGGGCCACATTGCAAGGCCTGGCGGGACAGATTTGGCCCACGGGCCTTGTGTTTGACACATGTGCTCTAGACCATAGAAATCCTAGCTTTGCGTTTTCCCAACACAACGAAGTTTGCAGTAATGACCTTAGAAAGAGAAATCTTTCTCCGGTGTGTTTCTCCCAGGTCAACCTTTCCCGAAGTCTGACTTCTGTCTTAGGGCACGAGGTCCCCAGGAGTGACTGTGCCCATCCTGGCCCTCGCCTGGCACTGCGAGGCCCCATCTCCTGCAATGATCGTGTGGGAAGGCCTCCCCTTCCAGTGTGGAAGGCTGACGAAATGGGGGTGTGAACCTCGTGTGGGGCTAGGGTGATGGACTCCCAGAGGAGCCTGCCCTGGCTGCGGAATGGGTGAGGGGGGGCTGACATCCCTGTGTCCGTCTCCCCCAGGCCACCCCCGAGGAGAAGGCCAAGCTGGAGGAGTTCTTTGCCTGCAACTCCTACGTGTCTGGCCAGTACGATCAGGCAGTCTCCTATGAGCACCTCAATGAGCACATCAATGCCCTCTGCCAGGGCTCACAGGCCAACCGCCTCTTCTACCTGGCCTTGCCCCCCACCGTCTATGAGGCCGTCACCAAGAACATCCGAGAGACCTGCATGAGCCAGACGTAAGGCTTGTCTTTTGCCCTTCCTTCCTGCCTCCTCGGTGGGCCCTACCTGGAGCTGGCCTGCCCTGGCAGCTGTCCATGGACCCCGGGCACACCAGTCTAGGGAGCCGCAAAAAGGCTCGACGTTAATTAACTCCACAAAGAATGGAATAGGCTGCAAACACGGTAGCTTTCCAACATCCTTGCTGAAAATGCTACCACACATATTTACATTGCAAAGTCTGTGTGGACCCTCAAAGGTTTACCTCACTAGAAATTGGACTGTTCCTGGACGCAATCCCCAATAACACCACAAGGTGTCAGTGTGGTTCCATGAAACTGCCCGTTGCGGCTGCGTTGACTTTTTGGCATTTCCCAAGGTTCCCTTCCAGAACACAAGGTGGCGGTGTTGCTCCACAAGAAATCACGCTTCCTGGGCTTGGCCTTTCCCTTGTTTCCCCAAAGCCACAGCCATCTTTTTCTTTGGCCTGGTTTAGAATACAGAACGCCATGTTAACTCTCAGTGGGCATTAACCAAAAAAGGGACTTTCTGCCATTTTGAAACCCACAGATATAATTGCCCCCTCCTCCTGTTCTCCCCCACTAGCTCTGGGGCCACTCGGGAGGAGAGGTTATTGGGGGGGGGGAGGGGTGAGGTTCTGGCCTCTGCTCCCCTCGGAGGGTGCGGGAGTCACGCAGCTCTGGGCTCCTGCAGGGGCTGGAACCGCATCATTGTGGAGAAGCCCTTCGGAAAGGATCTGCAGAGCTCCGACCGCCTGTCCAACCACATCGCCTCCCTGTTCTGCGAGGACCAGATCTACCGCATCGACCACTACCTGGGCAAGGAGATGGTCCAGAACCTCATGGTGCTGAGGTGCAGCCCGGGATGGTTATGGGGGATGGGGGGAGGGGGACTGGGTTGAGGGCGGGCTCTGGGGGGCTTAGCCTGCCCTGTTGCTGCCCCATCGGATGCAGCACCGGCCTCTGCCCTGCCCCTCCTGCAGGTTTGCCAACCGGATCTTCGGCCCCATCTGGAACCGGGACAATGTCGCCTGCGTCATCCTCACCTTCAAGGAGCCCTTTGGTACCGAGGGCCGCGGGGGCTACTTCGATGAATTTGGGATCATCCGGTGAGAGCCCTTGACCCCTTCCTAGGAGGCCAGAATGGGCATGGGGCGCAAGCCTGCCTCCTACAGGGTTCCTCCTTCGCCACCCAAAGTTTAAATTCTGCAGGAGAGTCTCATCAGTCAGCGGTAGCTATGAAGGGAGAGCCACTGCCTCCTTCCTTGCCTTGAGGGAACCTGGGAGACACTAGATTTAGGAAATGAGTCTTGTAACTTGCGGCTCAGAAGTCTCACTTGAGCCCTGGCTAGTGTGACTCCGTTGGTTGGAGCATCGTCCCATACACCAAAAGGGCATGGGTTCGATTCCAGGTTGTGGGTTTGATTCCCAGTCAGGGTGCATACAGGAGGCAACCAATTGATGTTCCTCTCCCACATCGATGTTTCTCTCCCCCACCACCTCTCAAAGAAAAAAATCAATAAAAACATATTGGCTCAGTGGATAGTGTCGGCCTCCGGACTGAAGGGTCCCGGGTTCGATTCCAGTCAGGGACACATGCCCGGGTTTCAGACTCCATCCTCAGTGTGGGGAGTGCAGGAGGCAGCCGATCAATGATTTCTCATCATTGATGTTTCTGTCTGTCTCCCCCTCTCCCTTCCTCTCTGAAATCAATAAAAATATTGGGGAGGAGTAAAAACAAAAAGTCCCACTTGAAGCCGCAGCCCCCAAAACCTGGCCCACAGGGAGGGGGCCGAGGCGGGCTCACTCCTCACACCTGCCTTCCAACCCGCAAGCCCTGACCCACTTCCGCCTGCTTCCCCGCCAGGGATGTGATGCAAAACCACCTGCTGCAGATGCTGTGTCTGGTTGCCATGGAGAAGCCAGCCTCCACAAACTCCGACGATGTCCGCAATGAGAAGGTAGGTGGAGGCATGCCCTCCCCATCCTCGCTGCCAGCTCTGTGAAGGCGTGCCCTGGCTGGCAGTCAGAAGACCCGGATGTCATGTGGCAGGACCAACAGTGACTGCTGTGTGACCACGGGCAGACCCATTGCCTGTCTAAGCCTTAGCTTCTCCTTCAGGAAAAAAAATGAGGTTTTTCTGGGGGTTTCCGGGTCATGTGGCTCCTCATGCTGTGCTCCATCTTCTTTTTAAATATATTCTAGTATTTTATTGATTTTTTTTACAGAGAGGAAGGGAGGGGGATAGAGAGTTAGAAACATCGATGAGAGAAACATCGATCAGCTGCCTCTTGCACACCCCCTACTGGGGATGTGCCCGCAACCAAGGTACATGCCCCTGACCGGAATCGAACCCGGGACCTTTCAGTCCGCAGGCCGACGCTCTAGCCACTGAGCCAAACCGGTCAGGGCTCCATCTTTTTTTTTTTTTTTTTTTTTTAGTACATTTTTATTGATTTCAGAGAGGAAGGGAGAGGGAGAGAGAGATAGAAGCATGAATGATGAGAGAACCATCCGATCGGCTGCCTCCTGCACGCTCTGCATTGGGGATCGAGCCCGCCACCTGGGCACGTGCCCTGACAGAGAATTGAACCGTGACCTCCTGGTTCATAGGTCAATGCTCAACCACCGAGCCCCATGGGCCAGGCTAGCTCCATCTTTTTACTCAAGGGATCCCTCTCTCCCTGCCTCTATCCCAGGTCAAGGTGTTAAAATGCATCTCAGAGGCGCAGGTGAAAAACGTGGTGCTGGGCCAGTACGTAGGCAATCCCAAGGGCGAGGGTGAGGCCGCCAAAGGGTACCTGGACGACCCCACGGTGCCCCGGGGATCCACCACCGCCACCTTCGCAGCTGTGGTCCTCTATGTGGAGAACGAGCGGTGGGATGGTGAGTGACACGTCACAGAGCGCTTCTCCCCGGGGTCTGACCACGCAGGGACAGGGGACCCCAAAAGGGAAAGGGCCAACAGGGTGGGACCCGGGCGCCTCACTACCCAGGGCCACGCACACACCCTGTCGCGCACACGGCCGGCCTGGGCCGTGGCAGAGCCCGCCCTGAGGCAACCCACTCCCGCCCAGGCGTGCCCTTCATCCTGCGCTGCGGCAAAGCCCTGAACGAGCGCAAGGCCGAGGTGCGCCTGCAGTTCCGCGACGTGGCCGGCGACATCTTCCAGCAGCAGTGCAAGCGCAACGAGCTGGTGATCCGCGTGCAGCCCAACGAGGCAGTGTACACCAAGATGATGACCAAGAAGCCCGGCATGTTCTTCAACCCCGAGGAGTCCGAGCTGGACCTCACCTACGGCAACAGATACAAGGTGGGCGCCCAGACCTGGCGGGGGGCACCGGCCCTGGGGGAGGCACCCGGCCCTGGGGGAGGCACCCGGCCCTGGGGGAGGCACCCAGTCCTGGGGGAGGCACCCAGTCCTGAGGGTGGACATCCAGCCCTGGGGGAGGCACCCAGCCCTGGGGGGATCACCCAGCCCTGGGGGGGCACCCAGTCCTGGGGGGGGACCCAGCCCTGAGGGGGGGCACCCAGCCCTGGGGAGATCACCCAGCCCAGAGGGGGGGCACCCAGCCCTGGGGGAGGCACCCAGCCCTGAGGGAGGGCACCCAGTCCTGGGGGAGGCACCCAGCCCTGAAGGGCACCCAGCCCTGGGGGAGGGCACCCAGTCCTGGGGAGGCACCCAGCCCTGAGGGAGGGCACCCAGCCCTGGGGGAGGCACCCAGCCCTGAGGGAGGGCACCCAGTCCTGGGGGTCACCCAGTCCTGGGGGGATCACCCAGCCCTGAGTGGGGACACCCAGCCCTAGGGATGCAGGGGGCTGGGGGCACGCAGGCAGCCTCAGCGCCATCCTCTCCTCCAGAACGTGAAGCTCCCCGATGCTTACGAGCGCCTCATCCTGGACGTGTTCTGTGGGAGCCAGATGCACTTTGTGCGCAGGTGAGGGGGTTCCCGTGCTCCTGTGTGCCCGGGGGCGGGGCTCCAGGCGGTGGGCACAGCCTGCGCCCGCCCTTCCCTCCACGTCCCCCCAAAGACGCACACGTGTCCCCCCAGTGACGAGCTGCGGGAGGCCTGGCGGATCTTCACGCCGCTGCTGCACCAGATCGAGCGCGAGAAGCCACAGCCCATCCCCTACGTGTACGGCAGGTGAGGCGCACACAGGGCGAGGGCGACACGGAAGGGGACCCTGGAGCTTGGGGGGACACTCACGTCTCCCCTCTGCCTCTCTCTCTCAGCCGAGGTCCAGCGGAAGCAGATGAGCTGATGAAGAGAGTGGGCTTCCAGTATGAGGGCACTTACAAGTGGGTGAACCCCCACAAGCTCTGAGCCCTGGGCCCCTCCCCACCTCCCGTTGGGAGGACTTCGGGACCATAGGCGTCAGCCTCACATTCCCGGCCTCGGGCCCAGCTACATTCCTGAACCTCCGACACCCGCGCTGTGACTGCCCCTGGCCACCACGGGCCCCGCCTGAGCCAGCTGCCCAGCAGTCCCCCGTGTCTTGGGCCCCCTGAACTGTCCCTGCGCCCTGCCAGGCCAACTCTGCACTCCACGGCCCACCCTCCATAGGGGCCCCTCTCGCTACTAGAAAAGCAGAAGCAGCAGGTGGGACGCCCCGCCTCCGCCCATGCCATTAAATCCACAAGCACACCTCTCCCCTGGCTGTTTCCTTTCTGCCACCCGTGACCACGAGGCCAGCCCACCTGGTGGGGGCCTCTGGCTCCCTGCCTTTCTCAGGACCCATCCCTCACCTCTGCCCCCGTTTCCTGTTCCTGCATCCCAGCACCCCGAGGGTCCCCCTCACGTCTGTGCCTCCACCCTGTCCCACCCCACAGGACACAAGGATAAGAGCGAGTCTTTTGCACCTGAATGCTTCCGTGAGCGTGCCGCCCGCACGGACCTGCACCCTGAGTGTTCCTGCAGGGACTCCATGAGGGCCGTTGGCACATTGCTGGTCCACGGAAGTAAGAAGGATTTAGGAAGGAAAGGCAGCAGGGCTCATGACTAACATCAGAGGCCAAGAGGGAGGAGGTAGTCCAGGGAGGCGCCACCGCCTGGCCACTCTGAGGTAGACAGCTGGGGTTCCCAGGCACCTAACAAGCATGCCCTGGGGCTTAGGAGAACTTACGTATCCCGTTACAATCCCGTTACAATCCGGGAGGCCAAAAGTGTATTCTAGGAGTAGGCAAGGCCGAACTGCCTCCAAACTAGGGGAGGGACCTTCCTTGTCTCTTCCAACTTCTGCTGGTGGCGAGCACTCCTTGGCTTGTAGGCACATCCCTGTCTGCTTTCTTCTTCATGTAGCCATCTCCCTGTGTGTATCTGTCTCCTGCTTTCTTAAACCTGCCTTGACTACCTCTGCAGACACGCTATTTTCAAATAAGGTCGCATTCCGAAGATCCAGGGAGACACGGATTTGGGGGGCACACTGTTCAACCCAGTATGATCGGAACAAAGGCAGCACCCCTTGTGCGGCTGTCCCCCCTCCTCCCCAGCTCCTAAGCTGAGCACTGGAAAGATGGCAGGAACCAGCACTGTGGTCCCTGCGTTCATAAGCCTGGGTTCCTTTAGGTGCAGCCAACCAGAAACAAAAGGGACAGATAAAATGATCAGATGGCCCTGGCCGGTGGGCTCAATGGTTAGAGTGTTGGCCCTAGGTTGCAGGTTTGATCCTGTGTGTCTCACATCTATGTTTCTCTCCCTGCCCTCTCCCTTCCACTCTAAAAATCAATGGAAAATATGTCCTCCAGTGAGGACTAGCAACGACACAATAATCAGATGGTGGGTAGTACATTTTCTGGAGGGAAGAAACCAGCAATCTAGGAGGTGAGAACACGTCCTGGGGCCCTGCCACTGCCACGGCTGGGGTGCCAGGATAGGGAAGGCCCTCAAGCTGTTGGCAAGAACTTGATCACCACAAATCCTTTCTCCAGCTTGGCCTGTGCTCCCCCTGTCCCCACCTCTGCTTGGAAAGCAATTGCCTGGGGCTCTTTCCTCCCACCATCCTTGGACTGCCATTGGAAGCCAACTTCTTACTCCTGCACAGCCTATTGCCATCCCATAAGCGAGGATGGCATGTCACCCCACACATACACAGCATATACAAACCATCTCTGGGCACCATTCCTTCTCTCCCCATCTCCATGGGAGGCGGCACCTCCGGGATGTGGGAGGAGGGAGATCAAGTTCACCTGGACCCCATTGAATAGGGAAAGAGGAGCTTTATGGGACAGGGACAGGTCATAGACCCTTAAGTAAGGTGGCTTTTCAAAGCTGAGTGTGGACTGTGTCCAGGTCCACGCAGAGCACCTGAGAAGGCTCCATGTGGACAGGATTGGAGGCCAGGCCTTGGCCATGGCCTTGGTCCTCACCCCTGTGCCCTGGAGAAGGGGCAGTGGACCAGTCTAGGGACTCAGGCTCCCTCTAAGCCTTTGGCTCCGCTGTGGCTACAGAGGATCTTTCCCTTGACTGAGGTGCAGTCACGTGGCAGCAATGGTGTAGAGGCAGCTTTGCAAAAGGCCCAGGATGGCACAAAGAGCAATGAACCCCCAGATGGTGACCTGAATAGTGCAGAGCCAGTCTCTGAAGGCCCAGCCACGCCTTCCCCCTGCTTACCACCAGAGGGCGGTGTCAACCCTGCCGGCTGGCAGAGTAGGCTCAGCTAAATCCCCACCCACCTGGCCTGCACTCCTGAAACCCAATCCTCAAAAGACAGACCTGAGGAGGACCTCAGCCTTGGGGGCCAAAGCAGATAAACTAAGGTACAGGGGCCCTCAACAGCCCCGCGGGGGTCTTCATGCTCAGAGTCCTTTCACAGAAACCACCCCCCCCCAACTTGACATACTTTGGGGGGGCTAGCAGATCTGGGTACTAGCGATAGTGTTTTCCAGGGGAAGGTGCCAGCATGGCATCATCAAGGGGGCCCCTCCAAGAAGTGTGGGAAGCTCCAAATAGGGCAGCAGCAGGGGCCATGGACGGGGGGCCCCCAGCTCCTGCCTAGGCCCCCAGCACATGGTGACCGTGTGTGAGCAGGGAGGAGGGACTCGGGGGGGCCATCTGATCCTGCTCTGGGTGTATCCGCTGTGACACAGATCTGGGTGCTACACTGGGGCTTAGATGTGAGGACACTCAACTGTCACCTGATCCCTGAGTGCCTATGAGGGAGAACTAGGTGAAAGCGCTGATGAGGACAGCCAGCTGTCATGTCCGCTGTGGAAGCCTGCAATGGGGAGAGGCATGAGGTCCGAGTATCTACAACACATGTGTCAAACACAAGGCCCGCGGGCCAAATCCGTCCCGCCAGGCCTTGCAATGTGGCCCGCACCGCGCTGTCATCACTGCACTCCGCTGCGTTTCCATCACAATGACAGTTTATGACTGTTCAGTAAACCACTCGGCCCACGATTTAGGCTGGATTTTAGATTTTGGCCCCTTCTCTGATTGAGTTCGACACCCCTAATCTACAATGAGGGATCCAGTGAAGACAGTCACTTGTCACCTCATCTCTGGGTCAATCCATTCCGACACAGACCTTAGGGCCTCCCTGATCCGAGTCAAATGTCACCTCAGCTCTGGGGCCCCACATTGTGGAACAGAGGTGACAGACCTGGTGAGGAGAGTCTGGAATGTCTGTGCGCTTACACTGGGACAGAGGTGACAGCCTCGGGTGAGGAAAGACGCCCATCACCTCAGCTCGGGGTGGTGACATTGGTGCTGAGGTATAAGGCTTTCGACTGGGACCAAGCAGAAGGGCCATGTGAGGACAGCCAACAGCTCCCTCAGCTCTGGGGCCTGCACTGGCGTAGAGGCATGGCATTGAGTCAACATTTAATTTCTAGATGCCTAGACTACACTGAGTGGCCAAATTATGATGATCTCTGAATGCATAGTAATCTGGCCAATCGGTGTATAGCCTATATAATAAAAGGCTAATATGTAAGTTGTTCCCTCCACCAGGAGTTCGTCCAGCATGTAAGCCAGCCAACCATCCATGTTCCCTCCCCCTGGCCAAGCTGGCCAGACCCCACCCATGCACAAATTCATGCTCCAGGCCTCTAATATACAATATATACATACATGCACACACGTTCAGAGATCATCATAATCTGGCCACTCAGTGTATAGTGGGGCTTAAGGGCTCACTAGTGGAGTCACCTTTCACATCAGGGTTTGGTTTTTTTTTTGAGGGGGGGGGGGTTGTTAATTGAGAGAAAGGGAGGGATGAGGAAACATTTGATATTCCACCCATTTATGCACTCATTGGTTGCTTCTTGTATGTGGCCTAACTGGAGATTGAACCCACAACCTTGGCATATTGGGAACGCCCTCTAACCAACCAAGGTACCCGGCCAGGGCTCACATCAGCTCTTTTTTTTTTTTTTAATATATTTTATTGATTTTTTACAGAGAGGAGGAGAGAGGGATAGAGAACTAGAAACGTCAATGAAAGAGAAACATTGACCAGCTGCCTCCTGCACACCCCCTACTGGGGATGTGCCTGCAACCAATGTACATGCCCCTGACCGGAATCGAACCCGGGACCCCTCAGTCCGCAGAGCGACGTTCTACCACTGAGCCAAACCGGTTTCGGCAGCTCTTTTTTATGTGTTCTTAAAAAAAAATAAAAAAAAATAAAAAAAATTTATTTTAGAGAGGAAGGAAGAAGGAGAGAAACACCAATGATGAGGCAGAATCATTGATCAGCTGCCCTTGTACACCCCCCACTTGGATCAAGCCCCTAACCCAGGCACGTGTGACCAGGAACCGAACCTTGACCCTCTGGTTCATAGGTAGATGCTCAACTACTGAGCCACACTGGCTGGGCTCACACCAGCTCTTGATGCCTAACCTCTGGTAGAGGCGTGAGGGACAGATGAGGGTATTCAATGTTCCCTCAGATCTGAGTCCCTACCCTGAGGCACAGCATGAGGATCCAAGACACAACACAATTCAGTGATGAGAGCTACACTGGAGCAGACGGGGGCATTCAAATGTCACGTCAGCTCTGTGTAGCTACACAAGTCAGAGATATTAGGGGCCAGGTGAGAGCATCAACAAAAAGCCCAGATACTGATATTTATGCCAGAAAGGAGAATGGAGGGACTAGATAGAGACATAAAGTCCCAAAGGATCACCAACTATCAGTTCACACCGGGTGCTCACACATGAGGGCCTGGGTGAAGACAGTCAACTGAGGGCACAAATTTTGTCACCCACACGGCAGAGGGGAATAAGGGACCACTGAGGTGATTCGATTGCCACTTCAGCTTTGGATGCCAAACCTGGGGCAGAGGCAGGAGGTACCTGCACCGAAGCAGAAGCACACAAGCACACATGACGTCATCAACTGACAACGGAACCATCGGTGTCCACACTGAGAGAGGGAAAGAGGGATCTGTTGGTGGTATCAAGGGGCACATGAGGACCCAAGGCAAAATAGTCAACTGGCACCTCAGCTGTGGGAGCTACACTGGGCCACAAGCAAGAGGGCCCAGAGGGAGACACTCTGCCACCTCATGCGAGTGCCTGTACCGGGTCTGGGACATGGGTGCCTGTAGCATGAGGGTCCAATCCTCTCTACACTGTCCTCTAAGAACAACCATCTGGCAGATGCTCTCAGTTACACTCTCAGAAGCCCGGGAGCTACCTCTAGG